AACCGAAAAGAACTTGTAAGTTCGCTTTCCCAGATGCAAGTACTCTTGTCATTCATATCACACGTTTACTCGTACTGTATTAGCATTGAATAGGTAAATATCTAATGTTTTAAAGGACCTTAATTGGTCGACAGACCGATTTCAAATGATATTCAACCATTTTAGCAAGGCGAGAACTACTACAGTAGACCAAAAAAGTATTCGTACAGTTGCATTATGTTCTGGAAGTCCGCGTTCAGTAAACAGAAACAAGAAGTAACTAGCAAATTAAAATCTACATTTCAAGACTATTCTTGCAATCATTAATTAACATTGTTATTAAAAATGTAAAATAAAAAAAACGAAAAATGTTTGCTTTATCCCCAAAATAAGTATTCGTACAGCAACGTTTTATCAATTTCTTTACTCTGTAGATATTAAATTGTTTATTGTTTTGGCCGGTATATTAGTATTAGGTTGAGCTCCTAGTTCTGTTTTCAAAATAATTCAAGTTTACCTTAAAATGCCTAGAAAAACTGCAGAAATAGATGGTGACTTAAGAAAGTCATCATCCATCATTTTATAGAAGGAAAATCATATAGAGAGATAGGTAAAATTGTTCAAAAAACACATAATACAGTTCAGTACATTGTGAAAAAATATAAATCTACTGGTTCCGTGGAAAATAAGTCAAAATCGGGATGTCCTGCCAAGTTAACTCAACGAGATCAGAATTTAATTTATCAAAAAGTTAAAAAAATTCCCTTTGTAAGTGCTCCATACATCGTTTCTGAACTGGAATCCAGTACAGGGCATAAGATCCATCCGGAAACTCTTCGATACCACATTAAGCGATTAGAATATAGAGAAAGAAGACCTGCTAAAAAGCCCTGGATAAATAAGAAAAATCGAAAGCTAAGAGTGGAGTTTGCTAAGCGTTACATTAATAAACGTTTACAGTTCTGGAACCAGGTTATATTGTCAGATGAGAGTAAGTATAACATTTTTGGATCGGATGGAGCCAAATCTGCCTGGAGAAAACCAGGGGAAAGAATGAATCACCGTTACTTACTTGCGACGGTTAAACATGGTGAAGGTAATGTGATGGTCTGGGGTGTATGGCAGCAAGCGGAGTAGGGAGTCTTCATTTTATTGAAGGTAATATGGACCGCTTTATGTACAAGGACATTTTAAGTCACCCTTTGAATGCGAGCGCTGAAAAACTTGGGATATCAGTTGGTTATTACTATCAGCAAGATAACGATCCCAAGCATACTTCCAAGCTCATAAGGGAATGGTTGCTTTATAATGTTCCACATTTGCTAAAAACCCCACCGCAATCCCACCTCAACCCCATAGAACATTTGTGGGAGCATTTAGAGCGGAATATAAGGAAAGGGGACATTCAAAATAGAAAAAATGCTCCAAGATGTCTTGCTCAACGAATGGAATAAAATAAAGCCTGATATAAACAGGAAATTTAGTTGAATCAATGCCCCGACGGTTGTAGGCAGTTATAGAGGCAAAAGGGTATCCAACAAAATACTAGGGAATTATTTTTTTTACTGAAATTCAACAAATATGTGCATTTTTAATGTTTGTACGAATACTTATTTTGGATATGCTGGAGACAAATAATTATTTTTTATTATTAAACTACGAATTTCTTTAACCTTTGCAATATTAAATTGTACTTAAATTGTAATGTAGATTTTGTTTTGTTAATTGTTTTTTCATTTGTATATTTATTAAACGTTAAATTACACGTATAATGATTATAATACGAGTGTACGAATACTTTTTTGGTATACTGTATTTAACTACTTAACTTTATGATAGATTTATATGGGTATGTATCTGTGCAAATTTGTTTGCAATATGGTCAATACTATGAGTTAAACAAAGAAAGATTTTCGAAGATTTTTAAAAAAACAGTGGTTAGAGTGAGAAATTGGCAATCCCTAAATATTACTCTCTTCTTCCAACACTGATGAGACTTCCATTACGAATGAGACAAATATGGAAGTTTTCTTTATTGCACATAGACCGTATTGCGTACTTTGCACTTATCTGTATAAGTCATATAGAGCAAAATCCAATTGCAAATTCTAACCTTACAAAGGGTTATTTCGATGAATAATGAAATTAAAAAAAAAGCAACAATGTTGAATCGAATTGAACTCGATATGCACGCAGAATGGTAATGGTTCATTTTAAAATTCCTCTAAAATGAATAACTTAAAATGTTTATGGCCGTATTAGGAGAGTAATTACTCGCAATTATACCGTTTTGGCTCCTGATTTTATAATTAATAGTTCGAGGTTGTTCGTTTGAGCCCATATGTGATTACATAAAGTGTTTATTTTGTTTTTACATTATTTTGTAAACTGGCAGTTTTTAATTATAGTAAATTATGCCTAAACATTAAGGATTTCTTGATAAGGTGTTTAGTGCATTGCCTATTAATAAGTCAATTTTTTGTGATTAATTATTTAACATTAAAGTATAAGGAATTTTTTCCACGCGTCTTCCAACAGGCAGAAGGAAACTAGTCGGCTGTTTTCAAGGTGAAATCAACGGTTATTTATACAAATATATCGTTTGTTATGCAAACTGTGTTATTTATAGATCGGTTTAATTCATTTCCATTCTTTTCGATTCGCTTTTAATTTAAAATCGATCAAACTGTCGAACGCGATATGGTCGAAATTAATAACATGAGTTTCAAAAATAATAAAAAATATTAATTGGAATAAACTACAGTTCGAAAAAAAAGTATAAAAATGTTTTTTAAGGGAATATGAAGATGTTAGGGAAAAAGGTGGTGTCACTGCCATTTTCGCTCCAGAAGTAAGTTGGCAGCCCTGTTGCAAACAGTAACTGAGCGGGAATCACAAGAGAATAAGCCAGTTACTAATACATAAAATAATATTTGAAAAATTTGGAAACGTCGCTAAATGTTTACGTTCTTTATCAGGATAGCTAAAAAATTGTAATCAGTTTTCTGCCAATAAAATAAACCTTCTTACTGATAAATTAATAACACCGAACAAAAATATACTCAAGTTTCGTTATATAAAATGCAATTATGCACGTAAATTTACTCTGGAAAATAAAATTCGATAAGAAATCATAGCAAAGTCAAATGTCACAAAAGTTATCATTACTTCAAGCAATCCAAACGAAACGAAACCGGAGAAAATTCACATAACTACACATATCAACTCCAAAACATCCTACCTAAGTTTTTTAAACACCAAGAAGTCCAAACGCGCAAAAATAACGCAGTTAAATCCGCAACACGTGGCCGTACATTGTACACAAATACATAATTAATAAAAAACCGTCAATCCCATGCATAACTACACTAAAGGAAAACTACAAACTATGTAAATATCACATCGTTTCCGTTTTAAACTTTCACATTTTTTCCCTAATTCGCCGTGCACTTACAAAATCTATACAACGTGGTTTTGTTTAGAAGATGAGCGCAAACAACTGGTGGAGAGCGATAGGATAGCCGGTTGTATTCGACATTTGACGACGTTGCCGCGTTTCTTCGATCTAACACACTTCAGCAGATTAGTTTGAAGATTCAAGAAGGATTAAAGACAATCATGGTTAAGTTACCGATAACTGTTAGTGTAGTGTATAGGTATAGTCCTTTTCAAGATATAGTAGAAAAGAGGCGTGAGAGCTTAGGGATTATAGCAATAAAGTAATGACTTTCCTAATACCAATACAATGGAACGTTGAAGCACTTCGGTCGGACCGGGTAGTAAACAGTATTTACATTTCCAGGTAAGAACTTAAGAAATGTTATTTAATGAGTGTTTTGCATCGCCGCTTAGCCGCAGCGAACGTACTAAACTTAAAATACGGTTCTGCGTCCTTCGACCGGCGAGTACGACGTGTACCCTAAACAGCACCGGGTAGTCGTAAACTCATCAGCTTATAAAGTCATTTTCTACTATATCTTGAAAAGGACTATAAATACTTGTCATAGGTCTGAGGAATCAGGGATTGTTGAATAAAAACTATTCATTAATAGCAAGACAGTGGTCGAGATAACATGTTAAAATTGATAGTAAAAGACTGAATAAAACGATATTTATAAAGCAAGTGTTTTAATTGTGAACGTTACAATTAGTAACTAGATAATGGGGAGTAAAGTGAGGATAAATAGAATTCTTCTGGGATCTTCTGGTAGCATCGAAAAAACGAATCATCAACTCATCAATCGAAAAAAATTATGAAAATATTATAAAACAGAGCTCAATGTTTTTTTCTTAAAATTCTAATGTAGAGGTTTCGAGGAAATTTCGATATTTGCGGCAATAGCGCATCGATGAATAGGTCGACCCGATAACACAGCGAGTTGCTTGTATGAATGCTATTTTTCCTCCTTGTCCCCTCGACGCATTAGTTTCCATTAAATTCTTTTCGGTTGCATTATGAAAGAGAATTATGAAACGTAATGTTAAATGTACGTATGGGATGTCCTTTTGTAAATTAACTAGGGGGAATACTGGAAATTTGTATTTCTGGAAGTTCTGGATAATCAAAAATTTTCCAAAAATTAGAAAAAAACATTACAATTTCGTAAAGAGCATAAAAAATTACTGAAACAGTTAAATTAATTAACCAGTTACCGACAATCAAAATAAATCTTATTTACATATTAGGTACATAGTTTCCATTATTTATATACACTCACCAATAAATCAATTATTACATTACATTACAGAAATAATAAAAAATAAATAAAATTTTCTACTTGAGTTGTGCTGACATCTCTATTACAAACACCACAGTACGTGAATGAAAGGACTCTTCCTTCAGACCGTCAGTGAACGTAAATAGATGGAGACTGGTTTGAAATTTTTAAAATAAAATTATACAGAGCGTTGTATAAATTTTGTGCAAATCATTTTTCTCATATGAAGGAGGCTTATTCAACAGCTGATCTTAAGAATTTTCATGTCTCTTGATGATTTATGTATCCCGATTTATGTCAATAATTTGTCAAAACGAACGAAAATGGTCCCGAAAGACATAAAAAAAGTCGTAAAACATGTAAAGCCTATATTATCAGTAACACAAAAAGAAGCGAGGAAAAGAGTGTTAAGTCTATACAAATCGTGGTTTAGGCAATTACCCTACATAGGTAATTAAAAAAATAGACAATTAATTTATAATAATGGATGTATTTTAGTTAAAAAGTATGATGTACCGGTAAGTTACGAAGATTGCAGGCAAAGACTACGTTACGAATTTACCAAGTACAAGAAAATCAATGATTTGAGGATAATCGATATGTTAATTATCAGGGTAAACTCAATAAACATCCCTACGCAAATCTATTAGAAAGATGGGGAAAAGTGGATTTTACCATATATTATTTTGTTTTTTATTAGGGACAAATGGATCTAAAGGAAGTCGTTAAAGCTTGGAAAACAAAATCCCACATTATGCGAATGTTTCAAGACGTGTACGAAGTTAAAACTGAAGACTTTTTGAAGAAATTCTATTCAAATAAATAACCTGTAGCAGAATTTTCCTAATAAATATTATCGAGCAATATTAACAGTAATATTTTCGCTTTACCATCGAAGAAAAAAATATGTTCGGTGGAATAAAAATCCCCATTACGTTTTCTTCCATAAACCATACAGAATTCCTCTACGTTAGGAGGGTACAATTCCCACATATACATTTTCATTAGACATGCATTGGAAAATAAAATACAATTGTTTCAGAAAGGAGACCTGAAAATCCTGAAATGTATTTTTCGTATCTATTTCGATACTCGATTGGTATATGTATGTGATTCCCCGGATTGATTGAAATATCATCGGAAAACAAATATAACGCCAAGGTATTGGTTTTATATTCACTTTGTGTTTCGTGATTACTTTCGAATTGAACTTTACTACTTTTTACATTTTTATATCGATAGGTACCATACACAAAATCAGGAGAATTTTTGAAGTTTTCGATCCATTCAAGTATATTTTATGCGTTAAATTAGAAGTTTCCAATTTCCAACAGTTTCTTGAAGGTAACGTAACGAATGCAAAAATAAAGTAACCTTGACTATAGAAAGATTAGCGGAAAAAGTGGGAGTCCCCCGGAAAAGTTCCCGTAGACAGAGAAAAGGGCCGGGGTTTGTGTGTGTGTGTGTGCACCGGCAGGACGAAGGGGGAAGCGAAGGCGAGCGGGGGTACCAGCGCCAGCTTTGATCTCGCCATATCTCTTACAAATGCAAATTTCATTTTGCCGTGCCGTACCCCATCAAAAATATGAACTAAACGATAACTTTATTCATTATTCATATACCTCAGGCGCACAGCCGCCCCCGAATAAAGCTAAGACTTACGGTGGGTGTGCTCGATATATTCGTTTTTCTCGTCGGGCGTTTTTCTTCCTCGCTGTACGTGTACGGTACGAGATTTAAAAATGTTTTGTGTGGATAAATATATGTCTTCGAAATGAATTTCGGCTTCTTAAAATGTATCAGAGCCAGTGGCGTCTCCGAATTACACTCCGACACTCGTACTCCGAATTCTCGAGAGCGGGATAAAATTGAAAATCGTCCAATTTTTCTTGCATTTTTCATTCGATTTGTAAAATAAACGTCCGTTTGCACAACTTAAAAGGTAATTTTTAAGTATAACGCAACGTTATCTCGACGTTTTTCAAAGTCGAATTACACCATCCGTAAGTTCCTCCGTCCTAATTGGCGTTCCAAATAAAATTTTCTTTTATTTTGGTTGGAATTTATGACATTTTAAAAAGCTGTTATGCGATTGGGGTAATTACTTAAAAGCTGAAATATACCCCATTAGAGTTTGTATCATTGAGTTTGTTTCGCAACGGGTATGCATTTTTGATGAAACGACGGAGCAGGAGCACTCGGGTGCAGTTTACTTGTTTCCGTTTTTCGAATATACATCATTAGCATAAAATGAAATAGAAGAAATGCTATAGCAGAACATTGGCGTACTTTTTTCAAATAAAATTGTGGGTCGTCAAGAGTGGAGAGAAACCTACTTCAAATATCAAATGATTATTTCAATAATAAACATGGCGGAATGGAGCAAATAATTAAACGAAAAAATTACCATGAAAAAACGCGAGAAAATAATAATTCCCAACGAAAAGTAGGAACAGGAGAAGCGTAATCTGCAAATGAAATTCAGCGCGCAATTCCGCTCCCTAATTATTTAAAAACAATTCAGACTTTGTAATTACTAAATGAAGAAATAAAAACCCAAAAATTCATAAAACAACTTTTTGTAATTGAGTTCGAGATTAAATCTCAGTAATCCAAAAATCCCCGTTCCAGAATTAATTATCCAGTAATATCGTTAAGTCGGAGCGGAGCCCGTTTCGTTACCGGCGCAAAAGAGAAAGATAATTTTTATATTCGCGAATACATTTTGTGAATTTTAAATTTTTTCGCAAACTTTTTTAATATCTAGTTACCTTGATACACAACTCGAGACTAGAATTAAAGTCGCCACATCAACATTCCTCAAATTGTAACCTTTACAAGTTTCTAAAGCAATTTTCGCCAATGTATAACATAGTGTAGCGACACTAACAAATTCCCTTATTCAATTTATTTCACAGAGTGCAGTATATCAGCGGCGTCCTTCTAATTTTATTCAGAATTTCTAAAACGCTGTTTAATAGACTTTAATTAATATATCAAACAACTATAAATTCGCATCTGTTACTACCTGACTGATTACTTATTATACGCTCGAAATAAATTTTACGAATTTCCAATAGGTGCAGTTCGAGAGATTGGTAAAGTTTTGTCACACGTCACTGAAACACGTCGAAGAAATATTCCGGGCACGGCGACAAATCGGATTGGCAACTGATTGCGAGAATCAAGTAGACTCTGATGGCGCGCGGGGTAGTATATATATGTATAGAGAGATATATCGCATCATCCCAGTTACCCAGGGCTCTTCAAAGCCCGACTTTATTCAATTGCATTTAGGGGCGGAACAACTCCGCAATACTTCCGGAATCATCAGCAACGTTTGCGGGAGGTAATAGTAAAAGCGACTTCCGACTTTCCTGTCGGTTGTTTTGTTTTTCTTATTTTTTTGTTTATTCTTAGAAATTCGTATTCTTATTTACAGACATCTTATAGAGTGATAGACGTTTTTTAAGTATTAGGGTAGTTGCTAGGGAAAATTATACGGTTTATATTTTCAAACTCCAATCGAAATAACCTATGCAGTAATTTTCTTTCGCCGAAAATCAACTCGCTATATCTTAATCGAATGATTAATTCAGGAAGCGCCCGAACGGAACGATGAAGCCTCTTCGACTATCGAATATATTCGGGGCCAATAAATCGAATTACGAAACGACTTAATTCATTCGTAATTCGATTTTCTGGTCGCAACAACCGACAATTATGTGTATCTATAGGTATCGAGAACCGGCCGAATTTCAACTATCTTTTAACACGGAAATCTCCGGAGAATTTTCCTCGCATTTCCTCTTCCAATCCCGCTGTTCTATTAAGCATGGACTATTTTCATTAGTCTCAACATCATGTCCAATGCAACTTATGTAAATCCAGTCGAAGGGGACCTATTATGGAACTATCTTGGACCTATTATGGATTTACCGTGGAACTATGAAGGACCTATCATAGATCTATCATTGACCTATCATGGACCTAGGATATGGTCCTATGATATACACCAATTATTGATTTATCATCATGGGCCTATCAATAACCTATCATGGACCTCATGGACCTATCATGAACCTATCTTAATCCTTTACTTTAATCCCATCAACAAACTATCATAGACCCAATAAAGCTCTATTAATAGCAGCAATACATCTTATGCATTTAAGTTGTGAAGGTAGGTAAAATAAATGATTGTTTCCTTTTCCCCAAATGATTTTAAAAAGGAGGAAATTTCCCGGCGCGAGAAATAAGGGTAGAGAGGAGGCAACCAGATCCAGAAAATAGTGTACGATCCCCGAGAGATCCTTTTAGATGTATCGCCTGTCCGGATCGCTCAGACGCCGGCATCCATCGCGGAGGCTATGCAAAAATACCCGGAGAATTACGGCGGATAAAACCGCCCGGATAACGCCCCGAGCTTTCGAAACGGCGGACACATACACACGCTACCCCCCTTCGGTCCTCCTCGCTCCCCGTCTCGCAGGATTTATGGAGCCGCCTTAAGTGGAGCCACATTTTTTTGCCTCCATAAATAACAAACCGAATAATATACTTGTATGTTGTGTGTGTGTGTGTGTTCTTTTTTGGTCCTTCCAGGCCGGATTTGTAAGCGGGGAAGATTAGGTCCTTTCAGTCAAATTATATACCAATCAACTATTATTGTATAGTTTTTTTTTTACTTAGTTAGTAAATGTATTGTGTTTGTGTGTGTGTAATTGGAAATGCCACTTCTGATGACGATGATAGAATAAAACCTCGCCGGTATCCAAAATACATCCCGAATCCGGAGAGAATCGGTGTAGAATTTAAAATCAAAGCTACTCAAGATAACCTAATAAAGATCGGTTGTAGCGTCGGCAGAGAGAGCGGGAGAACGAAGGGCGGAGAGAGAACGGTTTTCGCTTTGGTGACGAAATTGCGTATCAATTTCCTAGTCTTTTTGAGAGTTGATGCTTTTACTTTGTACGCCGTTACACGGTTAATGGTGTTTTCTCTGTTTACACACTTTTACGCCCGCACACATCACATTTTGATAATTACCCAACCGGGTAGAGTACGTTAAAAATTTTCGCTTTGAACTTCAACTCGACTCTATTTAAATCCTTTCGCCTCCTCTATCCATGTATCTCTATTATACCAATACCAATGTGTCAGTTCAAGTCAAAGTCGAATTGTAACGATTATACTCATTTATAATTATGGACCATTTCTGTTCTTGACAAGAGAGAGGTCGTGTTAAGTTGTAGTCGTTTTAAAAAGTTGTAGAAAAATTAATCAAAATAGTGAGTCATATTAAAGATAAAATTTCCCCATTTATCCATTGCTTCTCTTACGATATCTACGTTTTTCTTTTAATTCGAAATTTCAGGATAACGTGTAGAATTGGCTTAACTTCTCCGAAATATCTCTACAGTAAATTTCACTCATTCTTATAGAATTTCCATTAGCAGGAGTTTCGTGATCGGTAGATTAATATCACGGCAAATTCATCACAAATCCGGCTCGAAGAACCAAAAATTAAATTATTGGACCATTTATTAAAATAAATCTATTAATATATTTGAATCGATAGAAAAACTTCTTTTATCCACAACACCGAATCATCTAAATCCTAAATGAATAAAAACCGCAAAACCAGCCCCTAAATTGGTTTCTGAATAATAAATACAAAAAAAAAATACCGCAAACGCCAAAAGAATAATCCGCGACACACGACAAATACAAATGAAAAGGACGTTACACGGAGGAAAATCTCTCGCCAATGAAACTAAGTAAATATATCACAATACGAAAGATACACCAACCCTTATCCGTCTTCCTTTTAATCAAAGCGAATCCAACTAAACCCCTCTCGCTCTAATCCGGCTCGTAAAAAAACTGTTTAGTGTTTAGTCCATAAACAGTATCGCTGGCTAGGCCACCCCACCCCCCGTCTCCCACCCCCGTTTAAGAAGCGGCTCGACTTGTTATCGAAAAGGAGCGTTAAACGCCGACGCGCCGTCCCTTTTCCTGTCGCACGAACTCCGCGAGCTCCGTCTCCGTCGGTGGCGCTCCGGAGCTCCGCCCCCGCGTGATAACAGCGCAGGTTGCTGTGATGCTGCATTCGCGCCTCCCCTAGCAACGTGTTTAGCGCGTTATCTGACAAATGGTTCGAAAACAGTTGGCGATTGTTGTTCACGGAGAAAGGTTTCGTAGACACTGCTGTTTTTTTGTTGCATCTCCACGCGTGCATGGGTATAGGGGTCGGCGATTTATTCGGTGATTTTTTAGAGTGAATTAGAAGATTATTTTTTTCCGTTGTCGATAAGAAGGGGTCAGGGGGTGTTTTGCCCCCGAAATCAGCATCACGATTTTCGGAGATACTCATAAGGTGAGTTGATTAAAGAGGTGGTTTTTTTATTGTTGCAAAAGTTACTTTGATTTGATTTGGACAGTTGTCAAATTTTACTGGATAATGAGGGTGGTTTTTGAATTATTTTTAAAGATCTCAAGCAGCATGCATTCACCGACATATGTACCTAGTTGAATCAATTAATTTTTTAATCACATTTATCCTAAAAATACCAATGTGTATAACTAACAAAAATATATCTACACCAAGTAGATAGTACAAATTTTGAACAATTTCCTTATTTCATTTCGAGCGAAACTGATGTAGATATATTCAAAAAATTCCAACGCCTTTACTAGAAGAAAAACTTTTCCTATAATCCCAATATTTGGAATAATTCCGCCGAATTTCGCGTGAATAACACCGTTGATATTACGAGAACGTGACAATAATTAGAATGTTTTCTTAATTGAAAATTACGGAATCGAATTTTAAAATCTCAAATAATTTTGCATCTATCTGTTTTGTAATCGAAACCCGAAATTTCCTTCATTTGAACAATAATTGTGGTGGTAGAAAAAGTGTCATCTTCAACTACATGTTGTTGAATTAAGCAGGTATATTATCTCAAATTGATGAACGCTGTTTTTGTTCAGAGTAAAATGAATTAATACAATCAAGATGTTAATCAGCGAAGGTACTCCATTCGTACTACGTGTAGGTGTAGATATAATGAAAAGCAGCGTGAAAAATATAGCCTCTTGTAAATTAACAGGAAATGCCACATTCAAAAAGGGATTTTTTCGTACCCCTTAGATCCATATCTTCCATTTGAAATCAATGCCTGGCATTATTGGCAATAATAAAATAATTTTACAAAGTGAATAGTAGACATCCTGTATATACGAACGCGGTCCATTTATATGAAATTATCAAGGGCTATCCTTTAATTACCACTTTGGCACCCGCGCATGACCGAAAACCAACTGTTTCCATGAATATTTTAACACCAATGTATTTCCTTATAATTCCATAAAGCTTTAGACTAATATAAGAGCGCCAGTTCAAAGGAAGCACCCCCACGCACCCCCCGAATCGGATCGTGTCTAATTTGCTATGAATAATTGTCACATATATGTATAGGGGACGTATAATTTGTCCGCATCTCCATTAGGTATCAGCCCATTCAAACTTAATTAGATTATCTAGCATCACTACATCCACTACCCCTATACGAATATTCTTTTCTAGACCACTTCTAATTATCTTCTGTACGTTATTATTCACTTGTTATTCGATTTGCATATCGTTACAGGTCGGTTACATCCCGTAGATTTAATAACGATAATGGCCCATTTGAAATAATTTTCTTATGTTGGGGTACATACTTCTTAGGGTGGTGGAAATATTAAAGAATTTTTAGATCCAGGACGGTATTTAACTGCAATTTGTTTTATCGTAAAAAAATGACTCAATCAAAGCCATCACCGCTTAATAAAATTCGAATTTTTTGTCGTCAAGCGTGAGAATATAATAAAGGGTTTAATTGCATTAGGGCCGCACGAACGAATCGACAGTGACATATACAAATGACGTCATTTCGATTAAACCAGCTGGAAAAACGACTGTTATTGTATCGTTTACCATGAGGGCATTCACAAATTCGATTTCGACTTTTCTTAATCATCCGGTAAATGCATGATGGATCGGGATTTTTTTTCAACTCGTTGAGTTTAGGGGAAGGGCAATTTTAGTCTCGTTACCAAAAAAAAAACTATTTATCAACCCTCATAAACGCTTCTAAAGTGCCATAAGTCGAATTAATTATCGGATAGGCCTCGTATACGGTACTTTAGGAAATCACCTAATGCGATAATTCGTATAAAATTGTTTGTTTGCCTCCCTAAATCTTTTTAGAATGTCGCAATTGAGTTTGCACTTAATTAATTCACACTACCGTACATTATAGAGGATGTATCTCATTTAGTTTAAACTCAACTATGTTTATGATATAAGGTTATTAAACTAAACGTGCGCATCAACCAACAAAGACTTCGCCATTTTCCCTGCATTTTTTTATTAATTCTTCCCCGATAATTTTCTTTTCTCGATAAAATGAATCAGTGAACAACCACGGATTGGAACTGTCGCCGATCAAGTCACAACATCAGAGCAAGACTCAAACGGCCAATTAACTAATTATGTGGGCAACTATATTGCTCTTAGAATGTTTACAACAGCTAATAAAGAAGTATAACGGAGTGAATTATTTTTTTATGATTTCTATTGTCGAGCTAATCGAACAAATGAAGCCGAGTCTTAAGAGTATTCGTATTTTCAATTCGATTTTTACTGGTAAACATATCAATTAACACTCGTATAATATTGGGACACGGACTTGATTTTAGTAAGGGAACTTGACAAAATGGAGCAATTTAGATAATAAGTTATATTTCGAAAAATTGCTTAATCTAGCAAGAAATCTAGCTAAGTTATTTCCACGCAAAAAATTAGTAATACAACCTTTTCTCCTAGAAATTTAAATACTTACGCTTTAAGAATAATCAAAGCACCAATATCAAAGAAAAAAATGTATAATATCTACAGTGAAGAATTTCATGTAAATTATGGTACTGATGCTCTTAAGTGAGGCCTCATACGAAGTGATTTAGTCCATCAATTGATTTAATAATTGCTTCATTGATTGATCTGTATTTTATTAAGATAGTTAAGGAATATCTTAATTGGTGATGAGATTCTTTCGACGTGGAGTCGACATCGATACGCTCGCGACAGAGTTTAGATTTATTTTTCCCCGAAAAGTTGTAATTTTTTGGTCATGCCAATCGAATAATTGGAAACCTTTTAAATACGTTACAAACTGTACATATACAGAATTAGTAACAACGAATTGTATACTTATAAGTAAAAGGCCATAAAATATTCAATCGAAGCTCAACGATTACTCTGATTGCTGTTATTGTCATGTCGATAAAAGCGATTTGATTTTACTTCTACACTGCGAAAAACGAATTTTATTCGATAAATATCAGAATTATAAAGCGCACAATAAAGGCATCTAAATTTCTGCGTCCATAAAGAAAATTCACCTCAACACTTAAGACTAGTCTCAATTTTTAAACAATACTTACAAATATATCCATTTGTTATTTTTAATTTCTCCCAAAAACAGTCTAATTTACCCAAAAAATATATGAGGAAACAACTGATTTCCTCACACACAATGCTGGGTATGACATGTTTTACAGTGTACGAGTGGCGTATAATCCATCGATACATTTCCAATCGTTGATAGAATTTTGCATAAACAAATAAAATAAATTTGACGCTCTCTCCGCTTGTCGAATGTATCACGAACATGAAATTACCAGTCGGGATAATGGAGTTCGTAAAACGAGTTTTGCTCTACTCTATAACACCGGGCGGATATTGAATTATAAATTCTCAATTAATAGTGTTGATTTAATAATTCATTCGACTAATTAATTTATGAAGTCATAATAAACGTTGAATATATTTAACGTCATGTTATAATTTACTAATCTACGTTTTAAATTAATTACAGATGATATGTACATTTTATAATTAATTATTATTTATCGATTGGTATTTTTATTTGTGTGAAATTATGCCGTCTTTATTAGGGTGATGTCTGTGTATCCTGTTTTAATCGTAGATGAAGTAAAATATGAAATTGGCAATTAAAGGAGCAAATAAAACAAAATAAGTCGCATTTATTTTATACTCGGATGCTGAATGATTAATAAACGAATTTGTAATTAAGCGCCGAAATACCAAGAGTAAGTGGATTAAAGCAGCCACCGGTTGGCCTGAAACTCTATTGCTCTACGGCTCTTACTCTTAGAGCCTTTACGGCTCTTTCTCTTTAGTCCGAAATCCCGCCTTCTGATTACACATCTACAGGGTAATCTCGCGAAAGAATTTAATACTTGCAAATTTCTGGTTTTGAATGCACTCTTGCAAGACTCCACCTTTAAACAACCCCTATGAAATATATCTGTAATGAAATATAAAGTTATTCAAGCCAAAACTTTCTCTTCAAAAATTTCTAGTCGATTTTTGACGCATCTACAGCTCACTTGACTCGTATATTTCATCAAATTAGTAACATCACCCTGTAGGAGCGCAGTAACTCGATCATAGGGGCTCTTCGTCGGTAATTCTATTATACAGAATGGATGCAGCATCCCTTAGTGTGGGCCGAGCCTTTCTACACGTTAACGAATTAGACCCTAATCATACGTATGTACAACGTAATTTTCGTATTATCAGCACATCATCGTCTTCCGCTAATCTCTTTATCTTTATACACGAATAAAAATACTGATACTTGAAGGATACTTGACCATTGCGCGTTTTAAAATATTATAACAAGATTGCGAGAAAGAGAGTGTTGGTGGCGTTTAAGAGTCATTTGGTACTGTTCAAAACCATTTGGAACCGTACGAAACAGTTCAGGTCGATCTTAGAACCATTTAGAACGGATTGCGAACTATTTCGAGCGGTTTGGGATGAGTCCAGAACCATTTAGAACGCTCTAAAAACTGTTTAGAACATCTCATTATGATAAGAGAGTGTTGGTGGTGTTTAAGAGTCATTTGGTACTGTTCAAAACCATTTGGAACCGTACGAAACAGTTCAGGTCGATCTTAGAACCATTTAGAACGGATTGCGAACTATTTCGAGCGGTTTGGGATGAGTCCAGAACCATTTAGAACGCTCTAAAAACTGTTTAGAACATCTCATTATGATTAGAGAGTGTTGGTGGTGTTTAAGAGTCATTTGGTACTGTTCAAAACCATTTGGAACCGTACGAAACAGTTCTGGTCGATCTTAGAACCATTTAGAACGGATTGCGTACTATTTCGAGCGGTTTGGGATGAGTCCAGAACCATTTAGAACGCTCTAAAAACTGTTTAGAATAACTCATTATGAATAGAGAGTGTTGGTGGTTTCTGCAGGATTTTGGTCAGTTAATCCTTCATTTCCATCCCCTAAATATTTGTGTAAAAATCGCGAATCCTGCTAATTTTTCATTATTTTCCCTCCTATTTGAGACCACCATGTCCGCATCGGATCGAAGGCACGTCGACTCCGGCATATACGAGTATCGTGATGTCACGTATCAACTTAACTAAATTAACTTAATCAGAATTAATTTGCTGTTAATTTAACCGATGTGACGACCGTCAGCGTAGGTTATAGCCAATTTTAAATTAGATCGTAAATATAATATTATATACAGAGTGTGGACAATAAACGGTTTTTATTGATTCGAAGAGGAGATTAATTTATTAGTTGGTTTAAATTGAAAAGCTCGTCTGCGCTCGATTGGTCCAAAAGTGCGTTTTTTATGATTCAAAATAGCGAAAATATATGTTTGTTTTTTGTTGCAGATTGCGGGTGGGGGTGGCAGAGGGATGTTCTGCTACCATTGCCCGCCGGCCTTGCATCCCGGAGCACCGCAGCCCAGGTTACCTACACTGGAATACCCCTTCACACCGACTCATCCTTGTAAGTGAAAGTTTTTTTAAGCATCTCAAATTAATTATCTATATACCATAATTTTATGAAAACCCCTTAGTATTGAATAAATATTCGAGCAAATAAATGGGATAATGCGAACTAATCACAGGTTGTCCGCCGTGGCTCTCATCGAAAGAGGTCAAAACTAATGTGATAACTTCCATAATCCACCCCAAAAGCTTGACATGTGGTGCTGAAATTCGCTATTAGGGTGTCCATTCTCCAGGGGGTTGCTACCCCGGCCGAAACCCGCACGCCGTCCGTCTTTAATCCCGATATATACACAACATTTCGCGTTCGCAAGTAGTTGTAAATACAAAAAAAAATAGTCTTACGAATAAATTTGAAACGTTTTCTTTTGCCAACCGTGTAGGTAAATGAGGATAGGAAACGCAAATCAAACAAACAATACCCTTTGTGAAATTCGCAATCGCTTTTGCTTTATATGTCATTTTCGTACGTGCCGACACGGCGCAAATTACACGCGATTTCTATAGGTAGTGATTAAGGTCCCGCACGCCCAAACACCGGGTTATTAATGGAGAGATTTGAAACATCGAGATCGACATTCTTCTCCACCTCGATGATTAGAGATTGAAACGTTTTAGTAATTGCAAAATTAAAATTCATCGGAGTTTATAAAGAAAACATCCATTCCGCGCGCCCGTATAAAAACGTATATGAAATTCAGTTAGAGGATATTCGACATTGGTCGGTAAACTCCTCGCAAACCCAATAATCCTAACGAAATTCGCGTTACATGAAGTTATCTCGTTTCTCGGGCAAATTCACTTTGAAAGTTTCCCAACTTCGACCTGCGGTCACTTCTTCCCAACCTAATCTCTTAAGACGTTTCCAGATGGATATTACTTTTTATATACAGTTTAATACGTCTATCTTTCCGGCGAGTTATCATCGATTTTCTCGCTAATCTCAATGAAAAATCGTACATTTAGAAACTTAAATTGTACAAATTTATTTATCCATTTCTATTAACAAAATTAACTGTCCCTATAAGCTCAATAAATCTCTATCATATTCGGTCCTTCGAGCTAAATTTGTTAGCGGATCCCGAAATCTAGCCGTACAAATTAAGTTATCGATTCAAGACGAATGCCGTCGTCGCGAGTTCTTACGCGAAAAACAGATTTTTCTCGTCTTATAAACGTCATCTAGTGGAAATTGTAATAACCGAATTCCGGGCGAGGACGTGCCGACGAGAGAGGAAAAACTCCGCCAGGAGGACCTTAACGAGATTACGTAATTTCCGCGAGCTTTCGTCATTTCTCGACATCGGGTAGAAGGTTGAACAGAAACGGAGATGGCGAAATTACCACCCTACCGCCCCCTATAACTCGGAATTTTCACGCCCTGAATTAATATCGAAATCAATCGTACTAACATCGATGTTTCTATCTGATCATTTTTGAACACTTCAATGGATTTAATAGAGATATAATTTATAATTAACTCGTCCAATGAATGAACTAGAATATTAGTAAGTGTTGTTAAATTAATTCATTCTTTTACCCTTTGGATGAGTACTATTCAAAATACAGATTCTTTTCTACTATACTGTGCTGAACGTGTATTTGCGGGGTTTAATACTAAATCGATGGAAAGAGTAAATGTTTGATGAGTTGGAAATAAACGATGTTTGCTTGCGGTTTTAATTCGCGGAGAGCTGAGCAGATTACAAGATTAAATATACAATTTCTCTGAATTAAACATGAGATTTTAATTAATGTATCCTCAGCCTCGGCTGTAATTACGTTACGCACAACTGGAAATTAAAGTTTCTGAAATTCTGATGCTTTTTGATGTCGTCTCCTATTCGCTTTAACGTTCGGTCGCTCGGAAATTATTCCAATTGAAATTTTTACATGACATAATTAAGTCATTAATTTAACTGTAATTATTTTTAATATTTTGTTAAAATAAAAAACTACCCCTACAATTTTTATTCCATTTTTTAGATACCAGTTATTCTTATCATCCTGCCATACATGATGATACGTTTGTTAGAAGAAAACAGCGAAGAAACAGGACCACTTTCACCCTGCAGCAATTGGAGGAGTTGGAGAGCGCCTTCGCCCAAACTCACTACCCCGATGTCTTCACCCGGGAGGATTTGGCGATGAAAATTAACCTAACAGAAGCTAGAGTACAAGTAAGTACTACTAGCATAATATAAAGAATAAAAATAAATCTCCTAATTTCTTCAACCCCCGAAAGTTGTAAATTTTACTCGCAACCCCTCAGCCGCACGCCCGGGACGTCCCAAAGATCAAGGCAGGCGCGATTGACATGAGAAACAAGTCAGTAACCCGATAGCTCAATAATATATCCAGCAGTATCAATTATAATTATTTTCCACCCTATTCGAATTTTTTCTACCCTTAATGAACAAGCTCTAATCGACTCGAGCATCGCAGATTGTTAAAATCGTGTGCGACCATCAAATCCATCAAAATGAAGGATTTGATTGTTGCGAAACAGGTCATGAATGGAATATTAAACGGAAAATCTCTCCCCTTTTCCCTTCTCCATCTCGAATTAACCTTAGGCGGAGTAATTATTATTAACGGGGCGCAATTACCGCATCGGTTTGTTTCGGCGAACCACAACAGATGTTACCCCCTTTTCCTCTAAATCTAAACCGATACAATGTTGCGCGAACGAATGCACTACCCTCTCTGCCCTTCGCCCTTGCCAAATAACACCGGGACATGGAGTTATCCAGGAGAGGACTGGCCGATTGTATTCTGCAATCTCCACACCGAGAAATGTTGCGCGAAGGACCAATTATTAAATAGTCTTCACAAGGGTGTGCTGGAGAATTGTTTTTAGAAAATAAAAAATACCATCCCTTATCGAGATCAAAAATTCGATTCTGGATGAAATCAACCTGCTACATCAACCCCGAGCGCAATCTATTGTAGTAAATCAACCACCGCCGCGGGGTGGAGAGTTTTATAATGGGTAATCCCTTATTTAAACCCGCTTTCACTATTAAATAACAATGGAGTCATTATATGGTTTTATTATTTGCGAATATGGTCGGATAATTACGCGACAAATTATCCTCGAGGCGATTTTGTTAGGTACATATGATGAATTTAAAGAAGGCCGGCTCAAAATACCAAAATATTATAGTGTATTAGTACTGTAGAAATGGGATAAATCAGTTACACAACTCTATCTTATGCGTATAACGGTTACAAAATAACCGGTTATAAAGTAACGCTTGGGTTTTATTAATTTTGTTACTTGATTTCCGTGGAAAAAAAAACATACAATAGTCATATTTTTGTGGTTAACAAGAAATATTAATATACCTACTGATACAAATAGGGGGTTGTAAAAGAAGTCAAAAATATAATGAACCGAAATTGAGTGACAGCAAAGCGTATAATTCGATAACGACCCCTTTTTTTTAAAAGAAAAAAGAAACATGCTCGAACACGTTTCCCGTCGAGCCTCATATATAAAATCAACCAAACCGAACTGACTGGTAAACGTCTCGAAAATGCCCGCCTTATCAAATAAAAAGTGACAGATCCCGGAAATCTAATGAAAGAGGAGAACTTTTCCGGTTCGAATTCTCGAAAAGCAAAATATAATTTTGGCGTACGGAAAACGTTAAGTCCTCGCGAGAGTTGTAAAGGAAGAGGGTCGGGCGCGTGGCGCCACTGTAAAACAGGCTATTGGTAGGAGAGTACGGTTGGTAGAACTGCTGCCCGGCCGGTCCCTCGGGGGTGGCCGGGACGTTAGGTTGCCGGCATTGGAAACGGACATTTCTGGTGTCATATTACCGTCACTTAATTCCCGTTGTCTTGCGTTATTGTCTGCTGCGAACGGTCGGTTCGAATTTGATAGATTCTATTATTATTACATACTTCCCTGGCGCTCAATTGTCGTTTTCTAGCTCTGTTATTTCTTTTTTTTTACAAACTTCAAACCTTTTTGTTGAGCGCTATTATAGCTATGGTGTAATTAATATTATTTTCTAAAATGTATTTCCGGATAAAACAGTACCTAATACCAACAATTTTTCATATAGAGGTTTCATGTAGAGGAAATTTTTGCATTTCTAATCTATTAAGGAACTAACATTTTCGGAAAAAATACCTAGAATACTTAATTACTGATGCGATTGATTATATTTACGGAAGAAATTTAAAATCGTTAAGTTTGCACGACAGTAAAAATTTTTTTAAACCACATTCTTATCAATGTACCTACGTGCGCTCAATTTCCTGACTTATCGATTGGCTATTTTCGAAATTTGCTTTCGAGCTTCTGGAAAATCTTATTACGTATTTCCATATTAGAAGCGAGTTAATAAAACCCGCGCGTCTATTAGGGCTCCTTTAATTCACTTTTTCCCCTTTTTTGATCCCACACGAGCCGGAGGCAGGGGCGGTATCGGGTTACCGCCCCAGACGGTCATAAGCAATCATAATACATCCATGTTCACCCTCCTAAAACCGCCCTTACTGTACGTTCCTCTTTCTCACACGCATTCTTTGTCTTTACTAAGAATTATTAAATTTTTATAAAATAAAGAAAAAAATTATATTTCACTACAAATCGCTCCGATTATTTATATACTTTTAATAGTAATTAAGGCGTACTTAAAAGTTCTGTACTGTCAAAATCTTGTACTTGCTCTTCAATTCTTCCTCCTTTTCAAATCGAAAGACAAAGGAAAAACGGTCGCAGCACACGTGATGCCTCTATATACACCATTGGCATGACGTGACATGCCACTTCACGACCTTTCATTGTTTTTCCCTAATTGGAAGTCTTTTTTATTTTATTCTGATTTTTTTTTCATCTAAATATCCCTCCCAACTCGACGGCAAAACAATGAACACTCGGGCCGTTAATTGTTTTACTATCTTTTGTGTCGAGTGTTCTCTAATTTGATAGATATTTCTATCACACTCAAGAGTGCTTTGGTTGAAACCTTCTTTGCAGGATTCTCTTGTTTCACCAACTCTAAAATTTCATCATATATTGCGCTATAGTAAAAATATAAGCCTTTTTTAATACGGGGTTTTAGCTGGTCTAATGCGTATGTATTTAAAGGTAAAAGAGAGATAGACGTAGAGAAAAGCGCAGAAGGCAATCATCGATTTTTCCCCTTCTAGCTCAAAACGTTAATGCAAAATATATTTCCTCGTTAAAAATTCGTTTCCATAAACAGGATTAAATTTAAAAATGCATCGCAAGTTCAGGAGCGCGACAAGTAGATTTAAAACACGGGAGAGGGATGGAGAGAGAACGAACGTTCAAGATATACATTAACCAAAAAACAGGATCGTACTCGGCGATTTTTAATCCATTTTTTTTTAATTAAACTGCATGATAATCACACAAAGCTGTATTAAATCCGTGTTATACATACCTATTAAGTTTAGTTATAGAAGCATTGAAGAGTAATTCTAAAGTTTCTCTATAAATTTAGATAACTATCTTGCCTCCACAGATTTATCTTGGTTTCTTAAGGATCGTTTGTGATTGAATAAGTATTGATTGGTTAGTTATAAAACAAAACTGGATTGTTACATGGTTTTAGTGAAATTAGAAAATATTTAGGGGGTTGCAACCCTGGCGAAAGAAGCACATTCGCGGCTCTAAAAGCCGCGACGTCAAATGAGAGGGATTATTTATTTTAATGTGATTTCGTTCGAGTAAGAGGCAGAGGCACTTTGGCCGTTTTATGAAATCACTTAGTCGAAAACGTGTGATTAAAACGAATTTGATCTGGTGGAAAAGCTCCCGAAAAGTAAATTTTCGTTTACGGAAAGCGTATTACTTACCTTCTAATTCCTGGCTGCTTACTTTTGATGTTAACCGGTCAGATTAAGGGACGTTCTCATTATTTGTAACTTCGTTACGGGACTCTTCATCCGCGCATTTTCGCTTTCCATCTCCCTGAAATAAATTAGAAAAAATATTCTAGGTATACATGCGGAATTTAATTCGTTACTTTTTTTGACGTCAAATGAATTTTTAATCGAAAAAAAAAATGCAACTATAAAGCAGAAGACGCGATTGACTGACTGATTCGCTACTATTTAATTCCGCGAAGCGCAGCTGTAAAATTAAAACGCCTAATCAAAAACCAGAAAATTCGACTACAATAAACACATCGAATGTTACACATTGCAACCGTTCAATTAAGCAGCACCCCGACCGTGTAAATCGCATATAAATGACAATTGGCACGGTGTCCGTTGTAAGTACACAACACGCGAATTTCGATTGTCTAAACAAGCGAATAACGAGCGCTTCGACGGCGCACAATACACCCTTAATCTAAGGGTGCTTATCCAATTTCGATATGCCCAATAATAGTTGCACCCCCTTCGATACACACACTCACTTACACGCAGACCATAAGGGTGTATACGTGTAGTTAGAGATGTTTGTTTGCAAGTACATTGTTTGATCAGGTATTTTACATTGTTAGGGTGTAAATTTAGTAAATCTGGTAAATTTGATGATCGCATAGTAGGTATATTTTTTTTGGAAGGCGGTTGAAAAACAATGTAATGGATGGCGTGTCTATTCAAACGGATTGCCGGAAGCTATAATTTGGTTGTGTAGACATTCGCCCTCTCGCGAAGGTGAGTATTAGATTGCCTCGCCAATTAGCACCCCATTCGCGCTTACTAACGAGTCTCTGGACACAATTACACTCACCGCTGTGCTCTCTATCCTCTGCATCTTGTATACGAAACTCGCGGAATCACCACTGGCGTATCAGGCGAATAAACCAATTTCAATTAATTTACAAGAAACTTACGGTTTGGTTTCCACTACAAACTACTTTATGCGTTATCAACGTTAAGTCTACTTAACCCACTCCTAAAATTACTGTAGTTGATTTGAAGAAAAAAACTATACACCCTCTGATGTTAATTCCACCACTGGTTAATATGTAGCTTCTACATGAGTTTAGGTACTTTACCACTCGAGAAATCCTCCAATTTAGCTTGCTCGGTGAAAGTCAGACAATTCATTTACTTATTTTCTCTGTACATTTACCCTTTTTGAAACCTGAGGGCGTTTCGCGAGCAACAAAACAAATTTCCTTTTCATTCCGAGTTGTCAAGTGACAGAAAAAATTGCTTCTGTTACATAATCTACTATAATTATTTTTCGTAGGTTTGGTTCCAGAACCGAAGGGCCAAATGGAGGAAAGCGGAACGTCTAAAAGAGGAACAACGAAAACGAGACGGCCAAGATGTGGTAAAACGCGACGACAATACCAAAGAAGAAAAAGTAAGCTATTTAAAATTTCATTAAAATTTATTAAATAAAACTCGTCCGAAGGCGGATGAAGGCATTCCGAGCAGCTCGCCGGAAACCAACATGGAGGAAGAATCGGGCCGGGATCGGGAGTGCTCGAGCAGGAGCAGCGCCGGCAGAGAGACGCCCGAGAGGACGCGGAGCGTCGTCGAAGCGGATCCTTCGAGTCCTTCGTCCCCGCACAGTCCGGCGCCGTCGGCGTCGTCCGAGCCGCCGAAGACCGCCATCCAACCGCCGCCCTTTTCGCACATGTTCCCCTTCGGCGATAGGTAAGCCCGGCTTTCGTATAATTAATTCGCGGCGCGGCTCGTGTCGCAAACGCGGCGTTCGCGCCGCAAAGCTCCGCTTCGCGATAGAGTGGGGTGATGAAAAAATAACGAATTTCGGGCGAACAAGAGAAGCGAAAATAATAATTCTGATGTAATGAGCGTAGCGCTACATTCCGAAATGTTTATGATTTCATCAAAGAAGCATAATAAGGGCTTAAAGTAATTTATTCGTAACGGCAGAAAATGAAGTTATAAAGATGGAAACTTCACAAAGGGGACGTTATATTGTCTGTAGCTGTAATAATTCGCGAATGAGAATAATCAGATTTTATGTGCTGTATATTTCGCTGGATCTTTAGTAAATTAAGGCGCTCTGTCGAATTATCATACCTAAGTCGAAAATAAAATTAAAAAGAAAACTAAGAATATTTAATCGAATTTCTTCTATATTAAATTTTCACATCTAATTTAGATAATGAAAAGAATAACAAATGAATACATTATTCCAATTACGAACACGACTTAATATAATTAAAGACATTATTAGCAAAAGCATGCAATGGTTTTAATTAATACGTGACGTCAGTAAATTTCAATTAACATTAATCAAAAAATGTCTATTTATATCAGAAAAGAAATCCCAATCCCGACTACCTAATATCTTTTCTACTACAAATTAAATACCAAAAATAATAAAGAGAAACAATAAAATTATTTTTATTCGGCTATGCCCAACGCTCGAAATTCATGCATGCATGGGCTAAATAATTCTTTATGACACCGAGCAGAGAACATTAAATTTATTAAAACGACCAATTAAATATCAGAAAATTAATACGGCCCATGTAATTAATTTATGTGCTCGGAATTGCCTGCGTTTTTTTCCTCTCATTTCTACAGTTCACAATACGTTCCGTCTGACCCGCATGAATAATTTATGTATCGTAATATTTCGTTACAATTACCACCGTGTATTTAATTACTGTTTAAGTCGCTTAAATAGGCAATAATTCGATAATTTTATAGATGATGGTAATCAAACTAGTTTAATATTTATATCTGGTCAGTGGAATTAATCCATTGTACTTCATGAATACGAAGAACAGGCACACACTCCCGCGTAAAAATTTATTCCTAGGTATAATTTAGGAAGCCGGCGAATTACACCAATAATCGCCTAATTAAAAATTATGACATAAGTACCGACAAACCAATTAGAACGCTCGCTCTATGTAGATGACATCATCGCGATTGTATCGGTTTGAAGATATATAAGTTGGAGATTTTAATGGCCAATTTAATACGTTTGTAAATTGGGAATGTACGTTAACGCAGGATTGTAACGATTTTCCACTCTTATTTGCCTTAGAATTTTATTAAAGTACGCTCTGACTCGAAGGATTTAATATGCGAGAGTCCACATTTTATTTTAAAAGAAAGTCTACTCATTATTATTTGTTAGGTTTGACAAATATTTGGTTTTTTTATAGAGATATTTTTAAATACGTCCCTGCATAAGTAAGGCGATTTTTTAAGTGCGTGATGTTGACCAATTAACGAGTGCTTAAATTAATTATTGAATAATTAGTACTCTACTGTTCCAGATAGCGTAATGTTATTTCGGATTCGTAATTGGTGTTAATTAAAACACTTGTTTAGTAAATATTGTCTTGTTCGTTTTCCTTGTTTTCGTTCTCCAAAAAGGGATTATTAAATAAATTGGGTAATTCCAGAATGCGGAATTACTTTAATTAATCGTTTGTTGAGTTGATTTTAATTAATCGATCAGAATTGTGTGAAATGACCTTATATAGGATCGTCAGAAAGAAAAGAAAACAAAAAAAATATGGACCAATAATCATGACGCATATTATTTAGGATTTCGACCTGGAGCAATCCAGACTATCCCCATTCTATCTCGTTCACTGGCTATGATGTGATTTGTAGACATAAGCCGAGGAGTCCTCGGAGACACTACTAAAAGTAAATTGAAGTCTAAACATTTTAACCGTAGAAGGCCGGATTTATCCGGAAAACAGCGGAAGAATAACGTCAGTAAGCGTTATTATCGATGTCAAGAATCCTAAAGTACACTCTCTAAGTATAGGGGAAGATTGTACTTAGTACCTACAGCATATTTTAAATGGAAATATTTTTGTAAATCAATTATATAATCCGTTAGGAATGGAATTGTGCGTTGGCGATTCAAATTAGATATAATTGTAGTTTATTACATTAGAACTGCGATTTCTCGGAACGCTCTTAATTGATACAAACATACTGTATTCGAAAAGAGTGCAATTTCGATCCATTTAAACATTTAAACGAATTAAGAATGTTAAGATGATACGCTAACGGTCTATTTTTAAGCTTATAAGCAATCGAAATGGGAGAGAACGAGCTTAAATTTTATATTTTCGCAAAATACGTTCGAAAACATCGAATCGAAGGCAACGTTATTTATTTGTAAGAATACCCCAATAAGAGTTGTAAGGGAGAAATAAGGGAAAGATACGCAATTTTAAATTCCCAAAGGCAACGAATAAAAAAGGAATATACGAAAATAAAGATGACATTCGTTTTCTGAGATAATGCCCAAGTATTACAATCCATTTGCTGGAAATATCTGTATTATAAATAAATCAAAACAACGTTAGGTATATATTTCTTATTGATAAGTAGATATTTTTCCTTTCGGAAAATACGCATTAATTTATATAATTTTTCTATTTGGAAAGCACTATATAGGTGATTGAAAAGTATATGGATCTTTAAGCAGAATTTTAATATGATTTTTAAAAATTTTAATAGTTTATATGTAGAAGAAATATGATTTAAGAGTCTAACCCAGCGTAAAAGTGGGATCCCTCGGGTATATAGGGATCATTAATTTAAAAATTCGAATATTACGATTTGAATCGAAAAAACGCATCGGCACCGCCCATGACAGTTCAATTTCCAAACATAATTTCCGACTTGGCAAATATTAGCATTTCATATTTACCCCATTAGGGCACATGGCGCAGTCGGCGTGCCGGTCCTACTGCTTTTTCGAAATGAATATTTCACATTTTTCCGTCGACTTTTTTGACCGACTCCGCCCCCGCAGGGCTACATGACGAATTTGCAAATCGCATAAGCACGCCGACGCGCCATCAGAGAGGGCCCCGGCTAAATAATTCCGAGTTTTATATATAAATTTACGCGCGATACACTTACTTTGAGGCGGCGCGGCGGCGGCGGCACTCGCAAAAATTAATATCAAATACGCCGAAAATTCTATTTGCATGCGGAAATGCTTTTTTGATATGGCACCGTTTGGATTACGAGGTATTATGCAGGCTCATTGAGCGACACAATGGGGATTATTTAACAACGATTAAAAAAAACCAAAATTACACCAAAAAAAATCACAAAAATATTTATCTAATTGTTTAATTTGTGGACTAAGGTCCTACTAAAACAATCTTTTTACTGATGAACTTTACTGAATTCACATTTCGAACTGAGATTATAATCAATTAATCAATCTATATAATGAAAATATGGTTCAAGGCAACGCCTCTGTATCATTATTAAGTTTTTTTTTCTGTTTTTGAAAACTCGCTTCGTTATCGAAACCGCTCGCATAAAATCAACATGCATTTTTAATTATCGATAGCTGAATATATGATTTTAATCCCATCATTTTAAATAATGAAAAACGCTCTTGTAAAAAATACGTATCGCAAAAAAGTGACGGTATTTTTTTTTTGGAAGTTTCATCAAATATTCAAATTGATATAGGAGTCGTATTCATAATGGAATACCATCAGCGGAACGGATTAGATTTTTGTTTGTGCGCGAAAATGCCGATTTTTTTTGGTCAAATTGGAAATTTGAAAATCGAAATTCAAGACAAAAATAGTGCAGAGAATGAATAATTTTTATCCTGCCTATACAAAGCATATCTAAATTTCATTAACAATTTATTAGACACAAATTAAATTTGGCACCACTTCTATCATATTAGCCTTGAATTACAATTCATTGATCGAATTATTTGAATATGTTTCTACATATTGCGCGACATAATTTCTATTATTGCCCATGATTAAATGACTACGACTCCATTTTTAGTATCAATAACTTGCGAATTAATGTCATTTTCACAGAAAACAATAAACTATTCAAATTTTCACATTTTTATAGTACCTACCTATTATACTATTACCCGAATTTATTTCCTTCAAATGAAAATGTATGCAAAACGAGGAGGAAAATAAGTCAGCAAATTGCCGGCGGAAAACCCGTCTGGTCGACTGTACAAAATATCTAACTTGTATCCGGGAAAACTTTATTGGGGAAAATTTGATTTAATTTTTATAACAGCACCAAAGAGGAATGAGTGCCGTAATTTCTTTTGAAGCTAGCAATATAATTTCTGTATACCCCACTCGAGTATCTACGGGATTAAATTTTCAAACGCTATACACGGCCGCTATGCGAGAGAGAAAAGTTTCACTAGCACACCTGAATAAGAAAACAGCATAAAATTTTCCATGTATATAAAAGAGGAAATAGGAAGACCCCGAGTATTTTTTAAATTTTCATATTTTTACATCTACGAAGGGACATTTAAAATACAGCAAATATGATAATAAAGGTAATTTGGTTGAGCCATGTTGAAATAAAACACCCACACCAAGCGACTATGAATGAATGTTGCATACAACTCTTTTGCTAAGTAATTTATTCTTTCTTGTACTCCTGAGGGTAGGACATTTCACAAACAATTAATAATTAACAATAAAACTCTTAGCATTAAGACAAGAGTTAATAAATTTACGAGACGAGATGCGTCTCTTCGTGTACCCACTCAGCATTTAGCATTTAGTTGAACGTTTGGCGCAGCAAATTCGAGGTGATATCATAAGCGATATTTAGTAATATACAATCTCTTTACAAATTACGGCCATTAGTAACGCAAGCGACGTTTCGAGCATTCGGAGCAAATACATATGGCACCTCTACTTCGACTAATTGATGAGAATTTGCCTTTCGCAACAACCCGGGAATAGTTATCAAAGAGATTAACTGCAAGGCGTGACAAATTGGTTCGGTTTGTGTTTGTTGGGCTCGGGGTTTCCATTATGATATGTTAATTGGTTGGTATTCTTACATTCGTTGCCCTATCTTATTGTAGATTGAAGGAAAGTTTATTAATTTGGGATCTAATTAAATTTGCTCAATTTTCTCAAATGTTATTTTGTGCTTTGGGAAAATGTATTTTTCATACACTCTTTTCTAGATGATATACGATACCACCCCATCAAAAATAATTATGAATAAAAATCTCGTCCGGGTAGCAATTTAAATCCCCCCTATAAAGTACAACTCAATACGACTGACTAATAAATAATAAAACAGCGGATTTTCAACGTTTTAAAGTCACCCCCCGATTTCGAAACGAATCGATAATAAAGAAATCGCATAATAACAACAATATAATAGAAAATTAATAACCATACATCCCTTAAAAGTAATCCGCCTCATTTATCATCCTGGAATCTCCAGTCCGTTACTTTCAGCTAAACAAAACAAAAACCACCCGCTCTCCCGGCAATTTCCCATCGTCATCCCCATTAACATCGAATAAGCGGCTCATCCCCATCAATTACAACCCGAAAATCATCCCTTAAACACTTAAGCACATTATGCCGTCGTGTCCTCCGTCCACCATTGTCTCCTGGCCATTCTCAAGGTCGGCTCAATGGAAGGCTGCCGAAGAATAAGAAGAGCCGGTTCCGGTTCCGGTTTTCGGGCCGTTTCCGGGCCGCGCATGTGCCATCTTCCGGACATTATGCGTTTTGTTTAGCGAAAGGGCCATATGCTACATTGATTCGCACCCCAGCGATTATCGTCGAAGGCGATTAGCGTTTAGAGAGCCAGAGGGAGGGTCGAGGGTCGAGGGTTGAGGTTAGTTTTTTATTATGCGCTTTTTTCGTTAATAGCGGTTTGTATTTATCGAATAATGTAGTCGTTATTTAGCACTTGAAGCTGTTTAATCGTAAAAGGGTTTTTTTATATATATTTTAAGGGTCACGTTAATTGTTCTGCAAAGGACTAAAATATGAATTTAGAAAAAAAAATGTACTATATAGGATGTTTTTGTACTTATGGCACTAAATTGTAGGGGTGATAGTTTGTATAATTTGAGAGCGATTCGCAGATTTCATTTTAAAGATATTTCAAAGAAATGCAGTCCTGTAAATCTTATTCGAATTTGTTTATTACTTATTTATTCCAGTTGGTCTCTAAGTGTTTAGAATCATGGACAAATTATAAAAGTAAACCGGGTTTTTCAGACAATAGACAAAAAATTAAACTTTAAACTCAATAGGAATATTAGCTTACCTATTTTATCGTTGAAGTTGCTTTATTGTTCCAGAACATCACTATAACGAACAAGAACTAACTAAACTAAGAACACTAAGAACAAAAACAATCAAATAAATCACTAAAGTCTAATCACAAAAATCTATTTACCCCCGATGTTATAATCAAAAACAATACAATTCGCAATAGAAAACGATCGGTATTGATAACGTTTTTCTAATCGAATCTGTTTTTTGAGTTAAAATTCCAATCAGCTGACTATTCAGGCCAGGGTTGTATTCGCTCTTTGCATTTATTTCTAATGGCTCTATTTTGTTTATTATATTTTTTTTAGTAAAATGAAATCTGCGAATCTTTCTTAAATTATACAAACTACCACTATAATAGAAGAAATAAATCCAATGCAGTTGCAATTTAGCGAATTAGAGGAAAGGAAACGACGGGATTTATAGGCAACATGGCGGTACGATGGATATCAAACTGTATATAGTAGGCCGCGGTTTCCCTTATAACCCGGCCTCCCTTTGATGCCTCCATGTCTGCTAATTAGCTGATTAATTAATTGCACGGCAACTCTAATTCGAAGCCTATTTATTTATGAGCAACGGCATTAATGTAATTAAGGGAGGTGTTGCGAACCGTTTTCGCTTTATACCAAAACCGACCCTCATCCCCTCATCGACAGTGAGGGATTTGTAATCTCGCTTTATGGGGTTCAATTATACATATTCGCAAAATCGTATACCTACCCCGTAAATACTCGCAGAATTAATTAGATTGACGTTGCCGTGAGTTGGTAACTGCAGTTTGTCTACGACTCGAACAAATAACTGGATTATGATGTAAAAAAATTGAAAAGACGTTTCGGGTATATTAAAGAGCTTGCTTGATATACGTAAATATTTCAGAGACGTATGTCAGGATCTTCTGTAGCTTTCGCTTTCGAATGATGATGTAATATGACACTTTTCACAAAGAATACACAATTTACCTGATGTTTTATAGATTCGGTTTTCCGGCGAAATCGCAGTGGCGTTTAAAAAATCTTTTTATTATAAGCAAACAAAACTCTCGGTAACAAGTGATTATTGTTTAAGAAGATATATTATAGGAAGGTTTTTGAAAGTGTCCATTAGTATCCATGTAAGGTAAAAGGAAAATCTACGATTCGCACGCCGCTGTGTCGTCACAAAGGGCGGCAATTTAATGTTTTATAGATCCGTTTTAGTACGGAACGCACCGAAAACGTGGATTCCCTCTTATTCTTTCTGCATAAGCTACTTTTCGATTGAATTTTAAAAAACATGAATTCCCATTTCATACGTCTCGTACGGTTATTCTTTAGGGGAAAGAGTGTACGTTTTGATGTAGTGTAACGTGCCGCCCCCTTTTTATAGGTACATAATGCTACGGGACAAAGAGATAACCTACCTACCGCCCCTTGTAACTTATTTATTAAGTTAAAAGTTCACCGATACACTGGGAATGTTCGTTACTTATAGAACCGGCGATTCGAAGGATAAAAACGTAATTTTGTTTGCTCGAAAATAAAATTTATGTAATATTTTTTGTTTCAGCCATACCGGCGGATTTCGTCCAGTAATCGACGGTTCCGGGACAAGGAACACACCGCCATTATTCTTTTCGCCGCATTTAGCATCCCATCTATCCTCGCAATTCTCGCCCCCGCTGTTTCCGACATTAAAAGGTACACGAAAATTCCCGTTAATAATTAATCCGCCATTCTCCTATTAACCGCAGGTATTTCATTCCCTCCTCGAGGACGTTTCGCGCCCAAAAATCGTTCTAATTATCGAATTACCCTCGGCGGAAGAGGCGGCGGCGTGTATGCCCCCCTAATGAAATTCCGAGAGCGGCGGCAAAAACGCGCCGAGTCGATAAATCGAGAAAAGTACTCAGGTGGCAAAGCGGAGGCAAATTGGCGAAATGCGACGCCCGCTAAGTGGATGGAGTTGCCGCCGCTCGGGCGACGCTTACACGTTTTAACAGGATAACCTAATTCATATAGCAAGATTTCAGGATAACGTAAAGGAAGATTCGCCAATTACCTATCCGCCACGGACCATAATTTCGCTGTAAAGAAAACAACATAAAGTATTACTAAATTAATACTCGAAGGACCAAAAAGGATTTCTGGATTGTATTATAGAAGAATATTAATTACAAATCCTTCTAGAGGAAATTCTACATTACCAAGAAGCCGAAAACATTTAAAGAAAACAACATAACGTATTACTAAATTAATACTCCAAGGACCAAAAAGGATTTCTACATTATATTATAGAAGAATATTAATTAATTATAAATCCTTCTAGAGGAAATTATACATTACCAAGAAGCCAATATTATCTAAAAAAAAAAACGTCTAAAGAAAACAACATAACGTATTACCAAATTAATACTCGAATAACTTTAGAATATTTAGAAGATTAATTAATTACAAAGTTTTTTTTAGCAAGAACTACTGTATTTAATAAGCTTTTAAGAGGTATACTCAGATTTTGAGTAAAATTTAATGCAAAAAAAGAATTAAAACAATGAAATGTTAAATAAAAGAGAAACTATCGACTTTTCGAAAAAGCGCTATAGGCCTTTTTTTGTTCAAAATTACTTGTATAATCACCTCCTGAAGTTTGGCGGTTTTTATAGCATACACCCTGCATAGAAGACATTCTCCATTTCCGAGGAATTTTAGCTACCTAGGAAGCTAAAAGTCCTGCTTAAAGAACCCAAATGTTTCTCCCTAAATACTAAATTGCTGCAGGATGATTATAAAACAGCTGTACTCAAATGTTTGCAGGTTTCCCCGGCCTGTGCTCCTGCTGCCCGATCAAGCCGCTGGCCGGGCTCGGCTCCAACCTGCTGCCGACCAGCGAGGCGTCCGACCTGGCGCCGGGCGGCGGCGACCAGCGCTCGACCAGCGTGGCGGAGCTGCGGAGGAAGGCGCAGGAACATTCGGCCGCGCTGCTGCAGAGCCTGCAGCACGTGGCCAACTTCCAGCAGGCGGCGGGATTCGCGGGCGCCGGCCTGAATTTTCCCATCCTGCCGCCGTTGACGCTGCAGGCGCTGCAGCGGAAGCACGACGCCGCGACGGAGAGCGGCGACGCCGAGGCCGCCAACGAGGCTTCCATTTAGATGGTTTCGTAAACGGAAGTAGCTCGGGAGTAGGATGATGTGTAGAGTTGTTATGCGACTTTTTTTAATATTAAATTATGGAAATGTGGATATTTGGATGATGTTGCTCGGGAGTGGAGTACTGTACTTTTTCTACGACTATTACCCAAACGGGTTATTGTTGAAGAATTGTTGAATTCAATAGAATATAGAACTACTTTAAATTATAAATGGTTTGTGGTCGAAATGCCATAGAAAGTGCGTCCCTTTCAACGCTTTTAATAAACCATACCTAATAGTCTCAATTTATAATCTATTCGTTTATTCTATTTATTATTTGAAAAAGTTTATAATCACATTAATTACTTTTTACGATCAAACAAACATATAAATATAATTAATTCATAGACACTTTACCCTATATTAATTTCAATATTTTTTTCGATTTTATTTGACATGCAAAAAATTAGTAATTATACTTACCTGCATAGTAATAAATTTAGTGCAAAATATACATATAAAATAGTCGAAAAAAAAAGTGTTAATAATGTAACTAAAATGCTTAAAAATAAGAAATATAGACATTGTAAATAAATTTTAGTGTTTCACCTCTTGTAGTTGAGTTACCGATTTTGTGATGTGATTTTAGTATTAATGGTTCTTACTCGTCATGTATATTATAAACTCAGTTATATAAAAATATTAATAAACATACAAATGCGTTATATTTTCACAAACCCAAGAATTACAATTGACCAGTTCTCAAATGACTCAGCTAGTTCGAAAACTTCACTAAACCATAAATTTTTCTAGATTCCCAAATCACTTTCAAATTTTTCGAATTTATTCATTCCCTAAATAGAATATTTTTTATCATCGATCAATTTGCATAAGGAAAGGATAACTTCCCGGCTATTGTGATGTTTTCAACCGCTCAAAAAGAGTTGATTATTTATCTTTTCCCGCCTTTCGGCGGAGACGGGGAATCCCCTAAGCCCGCCTCCCGCGCCGGCCGCTTGCCAATGGGGAAAAGGAAAGTCGCGCGGAAAACGAGACATCGATCAACGTCGCGACGCCCGATTTTCCACCATAGATTCGAAAATGTCCTTTTAATATTCGGTAAGTAGAGGGAATTTCGTAATAAAAATTAATCACAATGATTTTTGTTTGTAATCTTTCTCTCCATTATTCCTGCTAAAAATCATGCCCAAAGAACTGAAGTTTATTGCTCCATACTTATGAGTTCCAAGATGGGAAAAATGTTCACCATCTCTAAAAATCCTGCTACAAGTTTTCTGGATAATATAAAACTTCATTCGCCACTTACAAGTCCCACTTGAACTCATTGCAATATTTCGAGATGAATTAAAGGATCATTGGGCAAAACTACACCGAATTTCACCACATGGGCGATTAACTAAAGTACGGCCCTGCTCGCAATACTAGTTATAGGCGAAGTTAATTTAGCCCCCGCCATAAATTACATCAGAACATTGGCTAATTGGGTCTAATTAACAAGAGTGAAGTGCGAGAATGTACCTGACGGGCTAAAGGGGGCGGCGGGGGGACGGGCGCGGGGGCGGTGTACGCCGGGCCCAGGCCCCGAGTCTCTAATTCCTCCTGAATTATGATGCCAATTGCGAAATTAGATATGAAAAGCGAGGCGCTATATCTATACCTGCAGCAAGCCGCAGGGGCACATCGGGCGTACGATGGTAGTAAAATTCCTGCTAATTTATAATTGTTCAAAAAAAAATGCATTTCGGTAATAGAGTGGAGAATTATAGATAATTGATCTACGGCGTGGTGGTGTTAAGAAATGTTTACGATTTACTGGGAGTTTCGAAATAATAAAGAAGAGAGAAAAAGTGAATACTTATTTTTTTTCAAATTGGAAAATGGTAAGTGTTTTTATAAAAATTGTAAAATTGTATCCTTTTTTGGTTAGGGATATTTTTCGGGTCCGATCCTGCTCTATTCAGAGCTATATATATATCCTAGCAGGTCTAATGGAATTGCCAACTGATGCTGTTTGCCACCCGAATTTATGGATATTAATTTCCATGATATTTCAGATTAATTGGCAACAACAAAGTAGTCGTTTCATTCGCGTTCTCGCGCGAATCTCTCGTTGTTGTGCCGTTGTTATCGGTATAAATGTAAATGGTTGTGTTCCTATATAGTTGTCGATTTGTTGGGTTGTTCCCGCGCTGAAAATAATTGCTTTAGTATAGCAATTTTGGACCTTCCATTAGGCCTCCGACGGTTTTCGATTCGTATATAAATTTATTACCTGTACATACATACGCTCATTTTGTGTGTATGCGTGTGTGTGCATGTGTTGCCCAGTTTGTAATTTGAAAATGAATATGAAATAATTAGTCAAATGGGAATGAATTAATCACTAAACCAAATACCTTTGCGTCTGTTTTATGGGAATATAGTAACGAATATCCTACATAAAAGTACTACTTATACGAATGATTTCGAAAGTGTAAACTTGTTCTGTGGTTAGAGATTCGTAATAATTACCTACCAGTTTCTTAAAAGGAGTAGATAGCACTTAGATATAAATTCCAAAGTTCTAGAACACTTTCACGCCTGTTTTACCCCGTTAAAACGGGAAATGGAGCCTACTTTAGATAATTAATATTAAAACTTAACTCATAAATTTTCCATGTTTTCTTTGTGAAAACGAACGTGCGGAACAAACAAACCTTTTTGCCTCTAATAATCTTGGATTATTTCTCGTCGTATTTTAGAGGAATTCTTACAGCGAGTTTGCCAAGACGCATCTGGTGCAAACCTACATGGGTATTTCAATTAAACGAAATTTATCGCGCGAGTTACTTTGTAGATACAATTCGAAATTTTGCTTTATTATCAACACGGGAATTAAATATATTTCCATTAAATTCGCCTAAAAACTTTTTGCTAAAATAGGAATTAGGAACGTCGATGAACACATCTAAAATTTTTGGAGTACCTGCCAGAGGATATTTTGGAAGAATTTTTAAGTTACCAAAATTTTTTAAGTACCTAATTAGTTTATTAAATAAATTCTGTAATATTTACAACAGATCAGCAATTTTTATAGGTTTACGTACTGCGTTGTTGTGACCCTCTTTGTATTGATACCAAATACGGTTACTCGGACTTGGACCTCCTTTAACTGAATTTGAAAAAAAAAACAATTCAAAAAAATAAAGTAATCAAAATCAACAAGAATTGGTAAAAAGCTTCACTTTGCAGCACAAGAAGAAATAAAAAAGTCTAACAATAGAGAAACCCAGTTAATTAACGAAAAACAGCGAACGCCACTGGATGAATTCCGGCTTAATTACTGGGTTTGTTCGAGCGGTAATTCAACTGTAATTGCCTTTCCAGGATGATTTCGGAACCGTCGATTGTTGATATTATATCCACGGTTATCCATCATCTTGTTTGCCCAGCCAAAATTGCAATTCAACCTCCTTATAACGTCCCACTGGCGCGTTTGGTGTTTGTGTTCGGTAATAAAGACGTTATGCTATTTCGATTAAATACGAATAAAACGAATAAATTGAGCAAATAAAGTAAAATTGCAAAATGAAAAAATTTACGTACTAAAATACTAGACTAATAATTCGATAAAATATATGTAATGCATTCTGAATATGAAGCGCTAGATACGTTTTAATAGTTGGGATATTTTGAATTTCAAGTGTGTAATTTTTTTTAAATTAACTTACCTGAAATCGTTGGTGTTGAAACGATTCTTCCAAAAAAGTCTTTAGTTACGGCCTGAAATAATGAAAAAAAAATAACATAGTAAAAGTTAGAGAGAAGTTCTTTAAATCGAGTAAATTTTAGTTCAAAAATCGGATTAAGAATGTCTGTAAAAAATGGTACTAAACATTTGGCAGAGTTGTGAGAAAGAAAAAAATCGCAAACGAGTTTTCAGGGATAACCAGCCGAAAGAAAAGTTATATTTCCGATATCCGGAATCCGGCGCTAAAGCCCTCTAATGCTATATTCCTGGGACTATATCGCGCGTCTAATGAAAGATGACCCGGCTAGATTGCGGGATTACCCGTTTATATTCGAAAATGGGAAAACTGGCGAAAGTCCATTTTCGGCGCCGCGTTTCATTGTTTGTCAGATTAGGAGGGAATCCCCGAGTGACTGCGCCACCTATCACTCGTGTAATTTATCAAAAAGTTTCCCAACTAATTCGGTTGCGCCTCTGCGATGATATTTTGAGCTCAATAAAATATTACTTATAAATTAATAAAAGAAAATATATTCTTGTAACATAAAACAAATGTGGATTATAAATGATTTAGTATTACCTAATATTTAAATCTTAAAGCAATGTTTTTTTTTTTCAACTAATACGTCTCGAATACTCGGAAACAAAGCTAAGAACACATCCTAAAGATGTTAAAATCGTTTTGCGGAGAATGAAGGATCCCATCTTCCTCTTTCCACCGCCCGCCCGCCTCTTTTTCCTCACTCTTTCTCTCTGCGAATCCCATCCCCCGTCGCTCCAAACCGCCCGGATAAGCTGCAGATTCCATTTACCCGTCCGAAACTCTTTTATTTTCGTTTTTTGTTAAATAGATACTTGATCTTGATAACCGCTTTGCTGCTTCTTCGGTTGGTTTAAGTACGAGAATGAAATCAGCGGCGGGGATTTCCCCGACCGCATTTTCCATTATACACCCTACCACGGTTATTATCTCCTAGACGTACGAATTTTATTGGGTGAGCGAGATGCGAGATGGATTTATGAAGGAATCAATTTGGCAATCATCGCAGGATGCATTAAAACTCATCCCTACATACTTTTCCGATATATTGCTTTATTTATCCTTATCCCCCCAATAATGATCTATCTATTGGCTATTAGTTGTTACATTCACTTATTGCCAAGAATGATCGAGGGTTAGTTTTATACACTTACTGATTGAAATGGGACAAACTGTATGAAAATATAACTCCGCTTTTCGGTATATGTTTAAATTATGTTCCAAAATGGACATCTCGATGTTCGCCGTGACCATCTCTAGGGTAGCTCGGGCTTCGAGAGGAGAGACGAGATGGTCCCGTTTTATAAATTAATCACAGAAGAAAACGGGAAACGATCTTAGATTATTTCGTTGGAAATAATGGCGAACGCGCGCCCGTTTTCTTGCAATATATACCGAACACTCTAAGCGATTTAGGGGATAATTTATGAGGAAAGTATAAATAAGCACGGCAGCGCCAGCGGTCGGATTTTCCGCTACTGCAATTTGCGCCAGTGGTAGCGAGATATTTGAATACACACAAATTAGATATTTTTTGTATAACTATCTATATCTAAGGGTGAGTAAATATTGAAGTTTCTAAATTATAACTCAAAATTATACGGTGATTAAGGGAGTGGGAGTTCATATAAAAAATGTGAAAATTAGCTAATTAAAACGGATTTTCGGTGAAAACGATCGAAAAACACCCAGCTCTCGCCCACCCTGCATCAAATTCGAGAACATGACAGAAACCCTTTTAAGTGCTCCTCCGGAACACGATAATAAATTATGAATCTCGCAGCAAAAAAGTCATCGTTTCTAAAAATGATAAATCGGTTATAGGCGAGGTTGCTAAAAACGGAATTCGAGGCGTGTATTTAATATTGTAGCGGTCAATAAAGGCCCCGGATGATTTCAATATGAAAAGAATCCAGGACGGAAAAGCTTTATTTACTCCAACATCATCATCATATTTTATTCGCCCCGCTTTCGCCATTACCGACATCACAATAACGCGAATTTCGTTTTCGTTAATTTCCTGATTATACATTATATTCCGAAATAAACATCATTTTTTTTTCACAAAAATCGCCCAGTTAATGACTCGTAATTCACAATTCAAAATACACAATGTCACCATATGCGGTGGTAATGATGTCGAGCAACCCCGGCCCCCCGTGTCGTCGGGGGCGCAATGATAAACCGTTTGGAAACGGTTAGCTCATTAAACAGAAGTGGTGGAGTGTGCGAGTGCGTGCGTCGCGACGCCGACCGACGCTTCACTCGAAACCGATATCCCTGTGTAGGATACGTGCATATACAGATACATCGGAGGGGGCGGATTTATGGCCGGGCGAAATTGAAATATCTCACAAAAGCATTTGCGATTCGAGATAATTACGCAATTAGAGTATACAGGATGTTAATTATAACTTTTTTATCATAATTTTTTATTACTCCAGGTGTTTTTATGAAATTTCGGGAGTTGGCGTCACTGGTAATAGTAGAAAATTAATTTTTGTCATTGGTAAAAATTAAAAAAAATCTTTTGCCTCAATAAATGCTCCTTAATAATTAAAAATTTGTAAGGTAGACTGGGGCAAATGTAAAAATGGGGTAAATGTAATATTTTTACCTATTATGTTAATGTTTTTATTATTTTTATAGTTCTTTTGTGCATTAGACAGGGTTTGTTTCTTATTTTTTCTTTATTATTTTGTAGCTGTTATTTTTTTAAATAAATAAATAAACAGCATATCAAATTTTAGAGGAACCAAATATGTATTTACAATTGCCCCATACGTTTTTCTATATAATTGTATTGCACTTTAGAACCGTTTGTTACATTTACCCCGTACCAAGGGGTAAATGTAACATATTGTCAACATTTTAAAAAATATGTAAACTATCGTTTTCTTCCTTTTTCAAAAAAACTTTTTAATACCTCGATTCTTTAGTTTAGGAATTTGTGAATTTAATGTGGTATCAGCATTTCTAATAAGAGAAAAAATAAAGCCACATTTTAGGATTTAATTTGAACTATTCAAATTTTACAACCTATTTGCCCCAGTTTACCTTACAAAATTTCATAAAAAATATGTGGAATATACTAAGAAAATTATAATAGAAAGTTTTTTTTCTAAAACTGTACCACCTTGTAGCTAGAAAACTGAGAGGTTTAGGACATATACTGATATAAACTTTTCTCCTTAAAATCCCGTATAAAAATTTCTACGGTCGTAGAAAAAACGCAGTAGGTTACTTGTAAAAGTGTTTTATAGATCGAAACAGTTGCGATGATGTTTATTATTGGCAAATAGGGCGAGTTGTTCCCTATTGAATTTAAATGTTTGAGGGCTCTTAACCGACAATCTTTTGTTTGATGTACCGTCGATTGTTCGAGCTCCGATGAGTTCTTCAAACAAGAAAGGGATATATTAGTTTTAATAGCTGGTAAACAAACAGAGAGGAGGCCAAGATACTGTGTATACCTAAGGGCGTATGGGTGTATTATGAGCAGACGTTCGAAAATTACGTTTTATATCGATGAGGAGTAAACTTCAAAATACGATCCTTAAGAGATTTATTTTTGTAAACATTTATTTTATGTCCGGTTTGGTCAGTCGCGTAATTATTCAAAACTTTTTGCGCGCTTTCTACACATTTCTTAAGGAGTTGTAAATCCAACGACCTTTTTCGCCGAAGAGGCGACCGATTCGCGTTAGTTAAATGGCGCGGTAAAATTAACGGGCTCTCCTCCGGCGTTCTGTCGTTGAAATACTGTTCGGAACTTCCTGCTCCGGATTATTTTATACACTAGAACAATTCGAAAATGTACTTTTGGCACCGTTAAGGGCCGCATTAGCGCCCCGTTTTTTCGTCTTTTCGCGAAGAAATTGGCGCGACTGTACCCGGAATGATTCATCAAATCAAACTTTATCTGAATAATTATTACGAGAATTATCAAAATGCTGATTGCCATCAATTTCATTGGATAATTTCGAAACTTCAATGCAGATAATTAGATAAACTAACGCAATTAGATAAAATCGTCTGTACGATATTTTTTCATAGTAGAAAACTCGAATCAAACACGAAAGAAAATTGAGAGAAAAATTCCCCTGAGCTCCCCTAGAAAAAAAAAACAGGAAACCGATCATCCTCTTTCCCAACTCTAACACACTAATTTTTACAACTTTGCAGATGGTTCGATTAACTCCCGTCCGAAAATCGGTTTTATCTCTCTGAAAAGTGTATATACACGTTTATAACATTAGTTAAGAGTGGAGAGACCGGATGTACCGGAAAAGTTGGAGATGCTCGATAGAGAAAGATACATATAAATCCACCCGAAAGATCTCCCGTTTCCTTCCGGTTCGCCATTGGCCGAACAGAAAGAGGGAAAAGCGACGTGGTATTAAAAGACCCCGGCGAAACGGTCACTTTCAGATGCTCCCGACTAGAAGAAACCCATTTTTTTTATTGCTATTTACGTCGAAGTAAATTTGTTGCTCGAAATTTGCGGTAATTTTTCCTTTGTCAAAGACTGCTTGTGATCAGCGTTCTTTATTAACGCTAATCAATCGCTTAAAGAGTTCCTTTCACGTAAATAATATCTATAATATAACCAGGTGAACGCCAATTGAAAAATAACGGTTATTTTGTAACAGTCGTTGCTGCACCTTTATACCAAAAAATCAATTCCCATCTCAATTAATCTGTGATACGAAATGTCATTAATGTCAATTTTGTCAGTTTATGTATCATCGAACGCACCTCAAACCCCCACAAGTTTCCAAATACTTCGAAATAAGCTCGATTTTGATATTTCGACTACATTTAAGCGATTTTTTGTTCGCCTCCAGAAACCCCACATTACTCATTCCATTCCAAATACATCTTATTGTACACAAACCATTAAGTAGATGGCGAAAAATCTGGAAAGAGCCAGATAATAAAAACTCCCGCGTAACGAAATAATTCTCGAAGACTTATTATTTCATTTCCTTGGCATTTATACGTCCCGGTCGAACGTTTCGGGGGGGCTCTTAGTGCGCCCGGAGAGCAAAGGGGAAACAGCGAGCGCCGCACAAAAAAAATCCATTAGCTTCGGAAGCAATTTGCCGAGAGTTAACACATAATCGTTGCCCGGTAAAGCGATCCGACGAGGAGTTTTCCGACTCTCGAGTTTTCCAACTTCCTGCGAATGAAAGAGTGGAAACGGACGATTTCGTTAGACGCGGGCGCGGCGCCATGATTTCTAACCCTAACACCCGAAAGATATCTATTTTATAATTTTCATTTTCCCTCGCCTATACACTTCTAGATAATTTTGCATAACTTTGAAATGATGGAATAAAGAAGGTTAATAATCTTGTAGTAATAATCGTGTAGAAGTGATTGTTTCACTCAATTCAATTAACTTTGAAAAGACTATACATATTGTATACAGATAAATGCAAATTTGTCCATGGACAAACTTCCAAAAATCAAAGACAAAGATAACCAACAAATCCTATTACAAAGACAACTTCCACTAGTCTCATATACGAGGGTAGAGTGAAAAGTTCTCGGACTGAGTCACTTAGAACTGTCTAGAACAATCTAGAACGCTCCAAAATCATTTAAAACTGTCTTGAACCATTTAAAACGCTTCAGAATCGTTTAAAACGCTCCATAAATCATTTAGAAATGATTAGAACGCTACAGAATCAAAAAGAACTGTTCGGAACACTCTAGAATCATTTAAAACGATCCATTTAAAACATTTAGAACGATCCAGAATCGTCTATACCTGTCTAGAACTAAATATTTCGACTTAATAAGAAGAATAATAAGTTATTTTTCAACTAAAAATCGCGGTCGTTAGCTGACAGGCCGAGAACTTTACAACTTACCCTTGTAAAAGAAAAGAAAAGAGTAATATTGTGTGATTGCACCATTAATAATCTTTCTTTGTTCAACTCATAGAATTGACCATTTTGCAAACAAATTTGCACTCACCTGTATTATGAATGTACTTACCGGTTTTATTGTTTTTGCAACCTTAACAGCATTCGCCTGCAACCTTTGCAAGTGATTAGGCTTCTGTTTGATCGATTCCTTATCGATCTTGCTCGCCTCCGTTCGTCGCATTTTCTCCAACTCTATTTCTCTGGCAATCAGCTGCTTATTGGAATAGGACAGCTGTCGCTTTTTGCAGGAAAACTGGAACAATTCCTCGACGTCTGGTTCCAGATTGAACACGTAGACGCCGTCCTGCCGCCTCTCCTGCACGTAGTTCAGATTGTAATCGATCATGACGTTGACCACTCTGGTCATGGCGTCCTTTTCCTCTTTGGTGTAGAGATGGAGATTGACGGGCCGGAAATTGGGCGATATTATTTTCAGCAGGAACGGCAGGATGTCCAACAGCAACGAGGATTTGTTGCAGTAGGTTTTTATCGTCGGTCGCATGCCTTTTAGCATTTCGGCCACGATCGCGGACCGCCTGACTTGGTTCTGTTTCATCTGTAATACATTTTTTGATGATTTTTTATGCAGGGTGTTAATTAAGTGTTGATACTTCAGGATGTGAATATTTGGATGATTTTAAGAAGAAAAGTTTATATCAATATAAGTACTAAACCTCTTACAGAATGTTAGTTTTAGACAAAAAATTTACTAATCACCCAAATATTCACATCTCGAAGTATCGGCACTCAATTAATTAACACCCTGTATAAGCCGTTGGGTAAATCCCGTCGAGTTAAACCCGAGACCGCAATAAAGATAATAACTATTGATCGTCGAAATAATTCACGAAACAACGAGAGCCCTTTTTCCCTTTTCAGAACGCGGCCGGTTATGAATGGAAAAGTAATAAAATTGAAGGGCACATCCTTTTAGGGCAATAAGCTTTGCTCATTAAAAAGAAATTTAAAATCCCGTTTTTCGCGGGGAAAGTGCATGAATAAGATATAAATCATTTCCTCATTTTCCTCTTCTTTCTCGGGAAAGGAAAACGAGCCACTCGCGTATGTATACAATACAAAAAGGGTGTTACCTTCACAGGATTAGTTTTCAGGAAAATGACTTACATTTTTATTATACGAGGTTCAAACGAAATATATTCGCTACACAAGATTTGCATCACATTATAAGGCTCTTTAATTATGTCTAGAAAGTTATTTCGAACGAATCACTATAACTAAACAACTATAGGTTAAGATAAAAAGGGTTATATTTATAGCGAGCGCCTCGTAGATGTTCTAAAACGGCCGGAGCGCGATTATTATACGTTTCAATGGAAACAAATCAAGACACTCTAAAGAGCTAAAAGTTAAAAAAGGACACTTCCATTTTACTCGCTAATGACGTTGTGAATAATGCAAAGGCGTTTATAACCCCTCGCAGTTTCGTTAACTATACAAGAACAAAAAAAAACTCGGTATCGTCAAATGCAATCCGAGTAATTAATTGAAGAACTTTTACTGCGCCTGTACTCGCTAAAATCTTACATTTTTTGTCAAGATAATCAAGATAATAAAGTAAATCAAGTAAATCATTAAGTAAAACATCAAGTAAATCAAGATCATCAAGATAATAAGGACAATCAAGATAATTAATTAATCAAGATAATCGAGATAATCAAGATATTTAAGTATCTCACCTCGAATCCAGCAGAAGGAAGGTTCAGTTTCTGGGCTTGCGTTGTGGCGAACAAAAAATGCCACACGATGAATCCGTAGGGCAAGTAGGAGGACAAGCTGTAGTTTTGCGTGGTGTGTATTTGATGGCTGATGAGGTCGTTGAAAACGAACCAGTCCATTGCTTTGCTTAAACCTTCCAACGTGGAGTCTCTAAGTTTTAATGAAATAAAGTTTTCGTGTACGCCTTGGGCCACTCTCTCGTAATCTCCGAATGATGAAATCGTTTGGAAGATTTTAGTGGTCCTGTTCGCCTCGTTTTGTTTCTTAGAGGCGTCTTTTTCTTGGTAAAGCGGGTTGAATTTTGGACGGAGTATTTGGAAAATGTCTTGCCAGACAGCGAACAAACCTAAACCAAAAAAAACCGGCGATGAATTTAATGAATAATTGATAAGCGGCCCTCGTCTCTACAGCCTTCAAGCCCACCTTTTTGCATGTCTTTCTGGCCGAAACTGCCTCGCAAAACGTCCGATAAAGTCACCGCTTTCTTTTCGGATTTGAAGAAATGCATCATCGACAAACAGGAGCGAATGTCGTTGTTGGTTTTCTCCGCCAGGGCCATCATGGTGCTCAAATCGGTCTTCAGACCTTCTCTTCTGCATATGGACGTCAATCTTTCGGCCAATTTGGCGCTGGACGTGCGAGGGAAATGGAGCACCAGCGATATTTGGCGCAAAGAACGCAAAGCCGGCGCGTAGACGTCGTTGCATATGCAAATTATTGGTCTTCTGAGGATGAATTGCTTGGATTTGCCCCCTTTTTTCGGTTTATTCTTAATCCCTACAAATATACTAATAAAGTAGCACGTTGATGATATAAATGTTGGTTCATTTTAGTTTGCAATATAAGTTATGGGTGCGATAAAGACAGCAAAGGTTAGTTCCTACTGTACAAGTTTGTGTGAAGATAGTAGGATGGCCATGACTTTTTTCTTCCTAATAATATTGGTTGATTGTGGTAAAATAATGAAATGGAAAATGGACAAATTATATGAGTTAGTGCAGATTTGTTTGCAATATGATCGTTTGTATGAGTTGAACAATTACATTATTCTTATGAAGTTGAAATCATTAGTTCTAGATGATTCTGGAGCGTTCTAAATGGTTCTAGACAGTTATAAGTGATTCTAGAGCGTTCTGAACAGTTCTAATTAATTGATTCTGTAGCGTTCTATGCAATTCTAAGTGAATCTGGAATGTTCTAATCAGTTCTCTACGGTTATAAAGCGTTCTAAACAGTTTAAAATGATTCTGGAGCACTTTAAACAGTTCTAATTGCATCTGGAACGTTCTAAACGGTTCTGAAGCGTTCTAGACAGTTTTAAATGATTCAGGCCGAGAACTTTTCACCCTATCCTCGTATATGAGACTAGTGGAAGTTGTCTTCGTATTTGGATCTTTGTCCTTGACTTTGGAATGAACAAATTTGAAGTTATCTATACAATTAATCATAATAAGTGAGTACCATTTACAAATTTAATGAGATATTCAATCGAGGCTTTCGGTGCGCCATCTATCTCGTCGAATATCAGACAATTGGGTCGATTTTCGGTGTCAACTAAAGATTTCATTTGGGTAGCATTTTCCAATGAAGTTTTGAATGCTTCGGTGCTTCTGTCATCAGATGCGTTTATTTCTACTATGTTGTAACCTGCATGTTTCGCCGCTACGTGCGCTAAGGTGGTTTTACCTAAAACCAATAATTTTTTAATAGAATCTCTTTATTGAAGGATTAGTTATACCTACCTAATCCGGGAGGTCCACATAACAAAGCCACTTTATAAAAAGGTCTATCATGCTCGTCTAAATCAGTATTCAATTCAAACGGTCTGAATTTACTAGTGTTTTTATCATATTGTTTCAACGTAGGTTTGATCTTAGGTCTTCGATTGAACACGACTTTATCCCAAAGTTTCAACCATTTCAACATCGTACGATTCGTGCTTTCATCGCTAAGCAATTCGATGTACCTTTTAGGCCGGTACAAATCCAACCACAAGTCTCTGTCGCTTCCGAAATCTTGGGGCTCGGACAATTCCATTTCGCTTGATTCTGTACTGAGTTTGTTTAACTGAAATAAAGCGAAAATTAATAAAATGTACTTGTATATGTACTTTTACTAACCAAAGTTTGTGCTTCGTTCCAAATCCTTTGCTTCTCACTTCCCAAAACATCATGGCCTACTTTAGATTCTTTCACGACACTCAGCACTTCTTCTCGCTCGTATTCCTCCGAGTGGAATCGAACATACAAATCCTCCCCGTCCGATCTTCTGACGGTTATATAAGGATATTTAGGCACTCTGCGCGAGATATTGCGACTGTCCCTATCCGCATTACGAGCTCTAGATGAAATAGAAGTGTTTATTGATAGTACATTGGCTTTTTCTTTGTTCAATTTTCTCAGTAGAAGAATGTGTTCCATCAATTCCTTCAATTCATCCTCTTTGCTGGGTTTGAGTTTGGTTTTTTTGGCTTCAGGCTCGAATTGCGCGAAATCTAGATCGCTGATGTCTCCGAATAATTCTTCAACGTTTCGTTTGTTACTAGTAGACTGAGTTTGAGGAGTACTCTCATTTTGTAATGGTGGTTCTTTCGGTGCTATTTCCTCGGGAGTTGCTTAAAAATATATTTAAAAAATGTGTTATACGTAAGAAGTTAGATGTAGGTTTGTTTTTACCATTGTATTGTGGATCTTCTTGCAATAACTCGAGTTCATCTGCGTACATAAGCTCGAATTCTTCATCGGGATTTGGGTAATCGGACATTTTGTTGTTGTAATTGGTAACTAGATTAGTTGATTATTTTAAATTCTTGTAAATTGCAGAGGAGGTGAAATTTAACATAACCATCACTCGACTCGTTACCACGGCCCTATATTTCTAAGGTCTGGAAACTCCTCATTCGTAAACATAATCTCAGCCAATCAGCGTCAAGCTATCAAAACTTCAAAAATTATTTTTTGACATTTCGAGGAGAAAATGAAGAAATACGTTACCCGAAGATACGTGAGGCATAATGTTTACAACAAAATCATCGCTGATTTATTGTATATTTTTATATTTTGTACCTATTTTTAGTCCTTTACAACATCGCCTCCTAGCGGCCGTTTTAGGAACCCTGTTTTATCCTCAAATAGCGGGACTCTTTTAGACCCATGTATGAAAAAGAAAGTAATTGTGGAATTGTAACAACTTTGTTTAGTTTTATTATTTTATTAATTTTTCTTTTAATTCTTCTTTATTAATAATTCTTTCTTAAGAGTTGAACAAAGAAAGTTAATTAAAATAACAGTGGTTGAAGTGAGAGAATTGCAATGACTTTAACATACCAACACCCTTTCTTTTCCCTTTATAAATGTTCCCTATATTGCATATTAAAATGAATCAATTTGTATACTGAGAATAATTATTAAAGCCATCAATTTTATTATTCAGTGACCACAGAAAATAATTTTTTTGGAATAACAAGCTCCGTTTTGTTTCCACATTCATAAGCCTATTCTGCTGTAAACTCTTCATTTAAAATTTTTGACATATTATTTGACAATCAATTTTCCCCTTAGAAATACAAGAAGGTTAAGATAGGTTTTTACAACAGAATTAAGAGAAATATATAATGTATATTTGGCACGCCAGTATAAAAATGAGCTAGAGCTACAGTATTATAACGATAAAAAACTTTTTTAATCAGTTAATTCCAATAATAACTGAATTAACAAACATTTTTCTCCTAAAATAGCCACATAAAAACCATCCAGGAGAATTAGTTAAAAACTGATACACGCACAAGACTTCTAATATATCAAATTCTATCAAGTACAATATCTATAAAATGTTAGAATATAAAAATGAATTATGTACACACAAAATAAATTAAAACACGTTAATCACAAAATGAGACATTATCACAGTTTTCTTCAGGTATAAGAGGTTCCATGTAAACTTTACGATAGAGTTTTAGGTGAGTTGAGAAAGGTATATCCTATTTCTTCTAAACCTAAAAAGTTTTATTAGATATTATTAAGAATAATGTAATTAGAATTTCCTGGATAACAGTAGGCATATATCGTAAGGATAAGAGCAAACGTATTTGCAAAATGATCAATTCTATGAGTTGAACAAAGAAATATTAAAGTAACAGTGGTTAGAGTGAGAAAGTTGCAATCCCATAATATCACGCTTTCCTTTTCCTTTATATGAGACTAATGAAAGTCGTCTTTGTTGCACCCACACCCTATATTGTAATCAATTTTGCATCTACCTGTATAAGTATAAGACACCCTTTATATCTAATAAATTTAATGTCATTTATGCCGTAAATCTTCATACTCTACTCTAAGATCATCGTATTTTCTTTGGAGGTTTTCATGACTCCGTTTTAACAGTCTAAAAGGCATCGATTCTTCAATTTGACGGTTGAATTTATCACCTTCAATAAGATTTAGATAAGCTAACAATATAAAAAAAAACAAATCAAACAACTTACTGTCTTCGGGTCCCTCTAATGATTCCCTTAATGATCTGGATAGTCTATTTTTCTTCAATTTCACCTCAGGAATTTGCTCGTGTATAACTATGCTCTTAGCTATATCTGAGAACTTTAAAGTGCATTGGGTTTCGAACAACATTTCACTTGAAGGATTTATATTCATTTATTGCCATTTGTTCGCTACTGATGATGAGAGCTTTTTAAAAAATTTGGGTCCAAATTTCCCAAAAAGCTCTCATCGGTAGCGAACAAATGGCTATAATAATTAATATAAATCCTTCAAATGAAATGTTGTTCGAAACCCAATTCATACGATGATCTTAGAGTAGAGTATGAAGATTTACGGCATAAAAGACAATAAATTTATTAGATATAAACGGTGTCTTATACTTATACAGGTAGATGCAAAATTGATTACAATATAGGGTGTGGGTGGGATATTATGGGATTGCAACTTTCTCCCTCTAACCACTGTTATTGTAATATTTCTTTGTTCAACCCATAGAATTGATCATTTTGCAAATACGTTTGCTCTTACCCTTATGATATATGCCTATACTGTTAGCCAGGAAATTCTAACTACATTATTCTTAATAATATCTAATAAAACTTTTTACTAAATAGGATTAGAAGCAATAGGATATACCTTTCTCTACTCACCTAAAACCAATAACGAAGTGTTTATATTATTTGATTCCTTCAATCTACTTCCTCTATTCAATGTTTTCTTCAACCTCTCAGACCGCTAAATCGCAAAAGTTGATGTTATTTATGATAACATGGCGATTATTTTTAGATGTTTGCATTAATTTCAATGTAAATATACAGTGCGATCAACTAGAATGCAAATTAACATTGCTTTTAGCATAATTTAACTTATTTAGACCATATTGTAAAATCATAAAAGCTTCCGAAGCTGATCTAACGTTAATCTGTGTGAGATCTTTAACGTAAGTATCGTTGCCCGTTGATCCCAATTTTAATCATTTATCCTTTTCTTTTGATATCAAATCATAGATACACTCATTATAAATCTCAACAAACGAGACCCATATAGAAACATTGGTGCCCTTATCAAAAGAAATGCTGTATATGTTCACTGCTCAAGCGACACTACATTTGCCTGCAAACAATACCAAGTTATTACCTATTATAAATATAATTCTTTTCGAATGATCGTACTTGTATAAATCCTTGTAGTTGATTGCATTGTACTCAACATTATACAGTTCTTGAGAGACTCCATTTCTTTTTTGATGGCATCATTTATCTGAATTGTCGTTCCATTCCAGTATTATTCCCGGGATTTCTGGGCTCCCAAAAATGGTGTAAGTTTTGCCTAAGAACAAAAACATATTACTATATTCACTAATACATCAAAGTCTGTGAAACGTTATTTGTGTATTTCCCATAAAACTTAGCTAAGTACTTACCTCAATACTATCCATTTTGGTAGAAAATTATCTTGCCTTTAAATACGATAAACTTAGTTTAGTAGTTATCATTGTTATCAGGAATAAATTATTCCGTGCTGGCGAGATTTTTTAGGATAGTGGCAAATACATGTTTTTATCGCAGACCCCACTATTTCACGTTGGAGCGCTAGGCGAGGCGTTGAATCGTTTATCTTTCTCATATTTATGAGAAGAAAAAAAGCAAAACCTCCAAAACGGGCAGTGTTTATCTGCTTTGAAAGTTCATCGACGGCCGGGTCGGCCGTTATATTTCGGTTTTACTTTCCCGCACTTACTTGATTTTAATTTGAAATCGCTAACGCTAATGTCAACTGTCACTGTCAATATGAAGTTACTGTTGAATAAGAGGTAAGAGTCAGTAAAATGTAGTTTAAACAGAAGATGTTTTTATATTTATGTTGGCACATGTGAAATCGGCCATTTTGGCTCTCTCTTCTTCTTCTTTTCAAATAGGTTACGAAGCGGATGTGTGTTTTTGTGTCATCGTGGATATAGCCGGTAATTTAAAATATAAAAAATAAAAAATAAGTGATAAAAAAGTTGACAACGAAATCCCGTAAGTATTCCTTTCGTTCTAAACTAACCACCGACTAGTAATTATAATTTGCGCGACATCGCCAACAAGTCGAATTGTCCAGTCACGAATCGACCCCGATCTCACACAAACACATCGTTTTCTCTAATCTCTAATCTAAATTCACACCACAACGACCCACCACCGTAGCTTTTAATTCGTCCTACCCCAAAGAAATTGCTTATTTTTATTTACACGAACGTACAAATATCTAGGTTATGGCCGATAACGAAGACTTGGGTTTAGGTGACGACCACATCGATTCGTTCGACGAGGCGAACGGTATGCACGACGAGGTCCTCCTAAACGACGCCGACGGAGACGGCAATGCCGCCGACGACCCCGAAATGGAGGCCATCAAGGCCAGAGTGCGCGAGATGGAAGAGGAGGCCGAGAAGCTCAAGCAGCTACAAAGCGAAGTCGACAAGCAAATGAACATGGGCAGCCCCCCCGGCTTGAGTGAGTACAATCTTAATGACTTCCAATAACTCGAGCAATCCGAATCTCTTATCTTATCTTCACCTTATTCATTGTTTTCGTGTGACTACTGTGCTGATTGGTATTGTTAGCGAGTGTTTTCGATTAATAAGTAGCGAAATGTTGTATAAATTTGTTGCGGTTTACGTTTTAATGTTAATTGGCGAGGGTGTGTCAAATCCAACAACACCATCGATTAGAACCGTATCGTTTAATATGAAAGAAGACAGCACAAGTGTTGGTGAAGCTACTGATGTGGAAGTTTCCGATATGCTCGTTAAGTTTACCAAATCGTACGAAGATGGTACAGTTCCTGCATACGATATTCGAGATTCCTCTAAAATCGATACTCAAATACTCCTACTTGATCATTTCTACAACATAAATATAGACGAAGAAGGTTTAAAAGAACCTGGATATTCACGGAATTTTATGATAATCCCGTTGATGCTAGTCGCCTCGTTTTTAATTATCTGCGTAATTATTTACTTGGGCTATTTGAAATGGAAGAAACACCAACAAAAGCGCCAATTAGAAAGAGAAATACTCGTCAGAAAAGACTTTTGCGAAAAACCGAACGACTTGGAATATTTTTCTATATGAAAACCCACAAATACCGTCAATAAAGTATTCGAATATTTCCATTCGTTGTGTTTTTTTTTAATCCATCGCATAAAATACATTCTATTATTCACACATTACCAATACACAAAAAAACTCATCTAAATTCCCGTCGTATTTGCGCTTGTAGCGAGCCCGTTGAACATGTCGCTGGAGGAGAAAATGGAGGTGGACAATCGCAGCATCTACGTGGGCAACGTGGACTACGGGGCGACGGCCGAGGAGCTCGAGCAGCATTTCCACGGCTGCGGTTCCATCAATCGCGTGACGATTTTGTGCAACAAATACGACGGCCATCCCAAGGGCTTCGCCTACATCGAATTCGGCGACAGGGACTCCGTGCAAATGGCCATGGCCATGGACGATTCTTTATTTAGAGGAAGACAAATTAAGGTTCGTAACAGCATTCTGGTATCTGTTACGGATAAAGTTAGATAAACGGCTAAACCTAGATTTACCCGGGCAAACTGCGAAATACGCAAGAAACATGGGTAGATAAATAAAAAGTGGCGCTGAATAAGGTCAATGTAGACGCGATATTCACGTGTAAAAGAGTTCTAAGAGTCCCAGATGATGAGTTACAAACGAAACATACCTTCTGGGTCACGTGAAACCTACCCACTCCACCTGTATTTCTCGGTTTACCCGGGAAAACCTAGGTTTAGTCGTTTATTTAACAACCCCTAACATATCTACTGGCAGTATCCACGTCTGAAAGAGTTCTAAGAGCCTACTGTTCACTTGGTACCCGAATAATGTTAATTTGACTATTTTTGTGTGGTAGGTGATGCCGAAAAGAACCAACAGACCGGGAATATCGTCGACCAATCGGCCGCCCAGGGGCAGGGGAGTGTTTAGAGGAACGCGCGGGGGCGCCAGCAGAGGTTTCTACGCGGGATACAGGCCGATGCGCCGGCAGAGGTATCTTTGTATTGCTCGAACACTTTAGAAACAACCTATGTGCTTATACAACTTGGTTCGTTTCAGTTTGCAATATGGTCGTTTTCTATGAGTTGAACAAAGATAGATTATTAAAAATAACAGTAGTTAAAGTGAGAAAGTTGCAATGACATAGTCACTCTTTATATTTCCTGTATAAAGTGTCTCTATGGAAGTTGTCTTTATCGCACCCATAGTCTATAGTGCAAACCAAAACGAATCAACCTGTATTTATTTTTATAGTTTAATTTATTTATCGATTTTGACGTTGTTTCTATTTTGTTATTGCGAAAAAAAGTTTTAAATTTAATGAACTGATCTCTACGTTTTTAGGGGTTTTAGACGAGGATATTTTGCTCCCTATTAGCGAGGAAAAAATATTCTTGTAAAAAAATATAAATCACCCTCATTATTTCCTAAGAAAAAAAATAATAAAATAAAAGAAAAAAGAGGACACGAAAAAAAAGGGAAGAAAAAAAAGTGGAAAAAAACATTTTGTGATTTTAAGTGTATTTAAGAAACGATTGATTTTCTTAGTTTAAACAAAAGATATTGTTTTTTTTAGTATCGTAATTTTTATTTGACGTTCGCCCCTAAGCGAAAATTTAAATGATCTGTTTGAATTTTTATTAATTCCTTTACCAGTTTTCAGGTACCCCTTAGTATTTCTAATGGATTTGTTTTTATTATGCAAAACATGAAAAAATGTATTGTCAAATATTCAAATAAATCAATGAGAACATTCGATTTGTTTGCTTACAAAATGTGGTTCAGTAAACGCACAGTACATCGTTGAATGGAAATTTGGCATGGGCCGGTTGGGTGAGATCCGCCAAAAAGCAAGCAGTCCCGGCCAAGCCTTCGAATAAACTGTAAGGATAATCCGGAGTACGAGCGCCCATTTGAAATTCACCGGTATTCATGAAACTGTAAAACTCCAACGCCCTGTGCAGGTGCTTCGGATCCTTGGTCATCCTAAAAACAAATATTGCCTAGCGAAATTCAGAATAACTTGACTCTATCGAATACCTGAAGAGTAACAGGAAAGCGTAACCGTTTCCGGCAACCCCGTGGCACAAACCGGGCCCCTTTTTCAACAGACCTTTCTCCCAGATTAAATCCGCCATTTTGAGGCAGGAATTGAGGTATTTCTCCTCCTTGAAGGTCATGTAAGCTTTGGCCATCAGATAAATGATGCCTCCTGCTCCATGACACCAATGTACCAGTTTCGATTGGTATCCTATTTCATCCGTTGCAGAAGGGAAATTACCTGAAATTGCTTATAAAATCGATATCGAATGAGTTTAATACAAATAGTACCCTGTTCGTCTTGTAAATTTAGCAAGTAATCGATGCTTTCTTTAATACTTTTGGCCTCTTGTGGGTGAGAATCTAAGTAACCTGGTACGGTAATCAGTACCTAAAATACCAATAATTATATAAGGGACTATTATCGTTAAGCGACTAGACGAATGCCTGTAAAATCGAGCTCAATCCGTGCGCTGCACCTAAATACTCGACTTGGTAATAGGCGTACATCAAAGGAGACTTTGATTTCTGCTGTAAAGCATAACATCTACCAGAGTGCACGATAACGTCGCAAATCTCGTAAATATCGCTCGTTCTAAGAAGTGTTTCCGTTTCTTTAGCCATCCAAAGAGCCCCCAAAACGTACCCTAAAGCATTTCAATAGTACAATCAAGCAGGCTACAATGGTTGGTTCTATATCGAGTACCTGCCCTTCCTACGAACAATTCATCCGAACCAGCGGCCAGGAATTTGGGTTGTTTCACCGTCTCGGCGCAATCGTAGTACAATTGGATGTATCGATTGCTTTGGGGCTCCTGCCCGATGCATTTGTATATGCAAGCAGCCACTGCGTACACTCCGCAGTTGCCGAGTATAAAGGACGGGGCCTCCTTGGAGTCGGTCGTGACGTTACCCACGGCCGTCAGGGCCGGTCTGAGGTACTGCACGGCTTTGTTCAAGTACTTGCCAGCGTTCGGTTTGAGCCTCGATGTCCTGCTCAAATGGTAATACATGTAAGCGACGCCGGCCGTGCCGAGGTACAATCCATCGCCGGCGTTTTTGTCGATGGGTTTGTAGCCGTTTTCTATTCGCAACAGCAAGTCGTTGAGTTTTTCCAGGATTTGCGGGGTGGGTATGTCCGGAGCGGAGCCCCCTTTGTAATCGGCCTTGGGATTCGGGAAGTAGCGACTTCGGGCGGTCGCCATCGAGCCGAAAATCCTGCGAAACCTTCCAGTGAACGAGCTATAGTCCTTCAGCATTTAATTCAGTAGCATTTCTTGTTGGAATTTGTTTACAAACAAAAATTTTACCGCATTAGTTATGTCACTGTCATTTTGTTTTGGATGATCTGTCAAACTACTACATTTCTGAACGCACCTTAAAGTTATAAAAAAGAAGAAATACACACGTGACTTTAGTGACATGACATATGACAGTGACGTTTATTCTTAAATTGATAAATGTGTCGTAAAATTATAAAATATCAAATAAATTAATTGTTTTTTCGCTAAAGTTGTTAAAATAATGGCTGGTTGTGTTCCTTGTTTTGTTATTCCACTGCTTCTGTTCATTTTCCACCGATATATTCAACCGATACTGCTAAAAATATGGAATCCTTGGGAGAAGTCGTCGATCAAACAAGAAGGAGAAAATGAAAATTGTACATTTAATTGCGATTGTAAGTGGATGAAGAAGAAGGAGGTAGATGTACAAGATAAGGAAGTTCCACCAGTTGATGAAAAACTTAAATCGTCTTAAAACACTCGGATGTATTTAATTTTCTTTATTGTCATTCCTCTACACGAATAAGACAAAGTTGCATTTTTGTGAGTTATTACTGGCGTTTCCTGTAGTTGTTTTTGTGTTTATTATAGAGACTTGTTATTTGACTCATTTTGTGTGAAAATATGTATTGTATGTTAACCAAAAATAGATAATAAAATAATTTACTTATTTATTTAACAAGCAATATAGAATATATTGATGCGTATGTAATATATTAACAATTATGTATGCAGATAATAAAGATTGAATATGAGTAAGTGCAAATTTATTTTGCAATATGGTCATTTCTACTAGTTGAACAAAGAAAGATTATTATTAAAATAACTGGTTAGAGTTAGAGTGAGAATGTTGCAATGCCATAAAAGCACTCTTTTTCTTTCCTTTATAGGAGTGCATGGAAATTTGCACTTGTGTATAATTTATTTCCATTTTTTTCTTTAATTTTCCCAAATAATCCGTCAGCTATTTTTTCAATCAAAATTTCATGAATGACCAATGACAAGTAGAGTTATAACATTTCCAATACCTCAAACAGTTTCATATCTCTTAAGTTGTTTTTATTTTTGTCAGATTCGTTAGAACTAACTACAAAATTAAAAAGAGCAAAAGCGCAAAAGCTCCCAATATCCACGTATGTCATGATTTTTATGACAAACAAAATTTTCAAAAGTTCAAGCGCACAACTTGAGAAGTTAGATACGAAAAGTACTCGTACATACACTCAAATCAACGGAAAATTTGTAGCAACACGGGAAGAAATCCCGTATTTTCCGCGTTGAATTCGTCAAGGGAAATTCCAATTTAGCGTTAAAAATAAATCGCAAATCGCGAAATACCGGAAGGGAATTAGTAATATACCAAATTGAGTTTCTTAATATTTTCGCCGCCGGTATATTATTATTTTCGAGGTGGAATATCAAAGGGCGTTAGTTGCACAATTTGCATAAATATTCCAAGAAATTCGAATACCTCCGAGGAGAATTCTCCGTGGGGAAACATCTTCGGCAGGTACATTTTTATGAAGGAATATATTTCTGAGTCGTCGCTTCCGCTCGCTCTCGATTCCGGTAAATAATTCTCTCGAGACGAAATGATTTTACCGCTTTTTCTCAGTATTTACCCTTACAATATTAAACCTCCTACATGTATAGAAAACATCTAAAAATATTCATCAAGCGCGACAAAAAAATCTTCGAAACTTCATTAAGTTTACGAGCATTATTAAAACCCGGCAATCAAGTTCGAAGTCGTTTAGAATGCATCATATTTCCTATAAAAGTATAACTTACTTAGATTAAACACTTTATCATTTCCCCCTTGAACTTTTTAATACATTGTAAAAGTGATGAAATTTATGAAACGAGCCGGAGTTTGAACTTTTTCCCAGTTTTAGTCGGTCTTTTAAAGAGTCGAAAGGTAATCAGTAAAATAGCCAACTTTTACCTATCTGTTCTCTACGAATTCCGAAATGGTAGTAACATTGTTGCCGATATTAATATACCACATAATTCCCCTAACTACAGATTTATTGGAAAGTTGATAAAATCGAATAGATTAGATTCAACGATTGCTATACTTTAGATTATTATAAAAACTAATAATTTAAACTTTGCATATTTAGAGGAATGTTAAAAGTTGTTTTTTTGAAGTTAAATCTAGAGTATTTTTTCTATTAAATTTCAAGTTATCAAGACTTTATAATTTGGAATACTATAATTCAAAAAAATTGCTTTCGAGATCTCGGCAGAAATCTCCTATAAAATCGACAACACTGTAGCATCCTTTAACGAAATTTTCTATCATAGCGCGACGGCATTGCGGGATACTTTGGATACTTCATTCCGCCGTCAAAGTTTAAATTGAGGAAATCAAAAAGTTCTCCATCCGCGTCTAGTTTAAACAGAACTCGCTCTCTTTCAAACGCCCCATTCGACATTGTGGCAACTTACCCGAGCATTTAAAAACGCGATTTTTCCACACGCAAATTTCCCTTTCCCTATAAACGCCGTACAACGGCAAGCCAAACGGGCCGAGTCCCTTATAATAGTTCCCCGAGCCAAGGCTGCACCAACGACCTCTTAACTCGCCTTTGCGATGGCTACGGCCATACGATGTGCCATTAAAGCCAATGAAGCCCGGCCGTGATGGCCCTCGATACCCTCCTTTCCTTCCCGCGTTTCACCCTCGCGCGAACAGGACAGTAACATTATTTTACAACCCTCGCACTCCACCGGAATATTACTTAGGCAACCTATTCTATTTTAGTGCGGATTTATCAATGAACGGCTAAATGAGTTAACGAACTGACAGGTTTGTATGGAATACCTTAATTATTTTATCTACCCTTTAATAAATGAAGATTTATGCTGCCAAGGAGGAACTCCAATTTCTGAAATTTCCCTTCTTTTTACCCGTCTAAATTATTCCGAACGGGCGTAATATCATCCCCTACAAAAAAAAGCTCCGATCCGGAGTTTATATTCCGCCTTCATCGACATTTCAAAGCTCCTAAGTTTCCTGTCCGTCGCTGTCGCTTCCCATTTCCGATACGATAGGATCTATCCCAGCGCAGACCGTTCCGCGAACGTGTTCCCATCCCGGTTCTTCCCGGTCAATGCCGTTGTTTTATAAGTCGGGAAGCGCGATGCGCTTCCAGGATTAAGGGTCCTGTCCGGCCGGGCGATGGTACGGCTAATTCGTCCTTATAGAAAGCCCTGCAGGATGCAGAGTGGTACATGTAAAACTCCACGAGAGATTGCTTTAGTTTAATTGTCGAATCTGCTCCGTGTAAAGGGTTTATTTGCACCACAAGAGCTGCAAGATTAGTTGCCTAGCTTGTAGGTACTGTAAGATATTTTTAAGTAAGGAAAACGTGTAAATTGCACCACTTTAGGTTCTCGGCGTAAAGCTTAATTATCCTAATTTACGCTCTCTTCGAATATGCCTAGTTAAATTGTTATAGCAATAAAATGATGTTAAGTAATGGAGCTCAGAAAAGGCAATATAAAAGTTTATATATTTTTTTGAGCGCGTAATAAAGCGGTTTACGATTCCGTTGAACTTCATAAAAATAAACGGTCGAACTCCCTTGCAAAGGCATATCCAGTTCCCCGGGTTTCTTTCGTTGCATAAACACAAATTCATGCATTTTTCATGTATCTATGCGAGAAACTAAAGAATTGTCGTCGACGAGGATGATGAATATATTTATATTTCAACACTCAAGATATGTTATTAATGCGCTAGTGCATTAATAATGTGAACTTTATGACTTTTTAAATGACAGCAGGAAAAACTTGGGAGTATTAATGGAATGGTTATATTTTTATGCATTAGTAATCTAATATAATTTGGTAATAATTATCATTGCAAAGGTAATTTGTATCTTTTTAATAAATAGAAGAACCAAAATAACAATTGCATAACAAAAATAAGCTTCGGGGTGGAAAATTGAGGGCGAGTGTAACGACCTTTCGGCTGGACGGGGAGTTAAGTGGCTAATATATCATATTTCCGTAAAAATAAATCCGTGTAGGTATCGTTATTAAGAAAAGTGATACGACATTTTTTCTGTGTTGAAGGAAATAAGATTGAGAAATGAATCTGCTCGGCTCGTTCGCATAAGAGAATGGCGTGAAAATATTTCCTGCTTTATGTAAACGAAATGCAACTCGCTTTAAGTTAAATTTCTTCGTCAAAAAAAAGCTATATATTTTTATAAAACTAGCTAACTACCAATACCAAACCTCTAATTCGATTGGAAAGAGGCCCGAAACCCCCACGGAATAATTAAAAGGTCATCGAAAGGCGCCCCATTATCCGGTTATAGGGTGTAAATAATCGGCTTTCCGGCCAAATCCGACGCAAAACTACCGTCGCGTCCTAATTACTCGCACTTTAACTATCAGGATAAGTTCCCATCGATTGTTACCTTTTCCCCGTTCCGATGAGCCAATCTCCCGCAAAACTTATAACGATCTCCGGATAGTGCCAAAGATGGCTAAGGTAACGACGCGCATCTCTCGGACGAGAAGTACGTCGTTACGTCGTTAACTCGGAAACGGATACGTTTGTAGCCGATTGAATCATTAGGGTATTTTAGTTTATAATATTAGATAAGTTTGTACGAAAACTAGGTAAGTATTATACTATATTATAACTTTATATGTGATTTTATAACTGTTATTTTGTCACATTATTTTTTGTATCTATACAGAGGGTGTTCTCGTATACTTATGGCACTAAATTCTAGATGTGGTAGTTTGCTTAATTTGAGAGCGATTCGCAGATTTTATTTTTCTAAAAAAATTATAAAAAACAAAATTGGAAATATTAGATAAGGTAGACTGGGGCAAATGTAAAAATGGGGTAAATGTAATATTTTTACCTATTATGTTAATGTTTATTGTTATTTTTATAGTTCTTTTGTGCATTAGACAGGGTTTGTTTCTTATTTTTTCTTTATTATTTTGTAGCTCTGTTATTTTTTGAAATAAATAAATAAACAGCATATCAAATTTTAGAGGAACCAAATATGTAATTACAATTGCCCCATATGTTTTTCTATATATTTGTATTGCACTTTAGAACTGTTTTTTACATTTACTCCGTACCATGGGGTAAATGTAACATATTGCCAACATTTAAAAAAATATGTAAAATGGTTTTCTTCCTTTTTCAAAAAAACTTTTTAATACCTCGATTCTTTAGTTTATAAGGAAGTTGTGAATTTAATGTGGTATCAGCATTTCTAATAAGAGAAAAAATAAAGCCACATTTTAGGATTGAATTTGAACTATTCAAATTTTACAACCGTTTTGCCCCAGTCTACCTTATTTCAAAGAAATGGGGTCCTGTATATCGGTTAATTGAAACGCGCGTTTACCATAGGTTAGAATCGACATAATAATGATTTATAACTTAAGAGCGATATCTTATTCGAATTTGTTTAATACTTATTTATTCGATTTGGTCTCTAAATGTTTAGAATCATGCGTAAATTATAAAAGTAAACCGGGTTTTTCAAACAAAATACGAAAATAAACTTTAAACTCAAAAGGAATATTAGCTCACCTATATTTTGTTGTTCAAAGCTGCTTAAATGTTCCAGAACATCACTATAACGAACAAGAACTAACTAAACTAAGACACTATGAACAAAAACAATCAAATAAATCACTAAAGTCTAATTACAAAAATCTAATTACACCCGATGTTATAATCAAAACAATACACAATTCGCACTAGAAAACGATCGGTATCGATAACGTTTTTCTAAAGCTGGAGGGCGGAGGGGGAAATTTGCGCTTGCTGATAAAATACATCGAATCTATTTTCGAGTATTCCGATCAGCTGACTATTCAGACCAGGGTTGTAATCGCTCTTTCCATTTATTTCTAATGGCTCTATTTTGTTTATTATAATTTTTTTAGAAAAGTGAAATCTGCGAATCGCTCTCAAATTATACAAACTGCCACCCATAGAATTTAGTGCCATAAGTTTGAGAACACCCTGTATAGGGCATTTTAGTTTGTAGTAAATAAGTTAGTATGAAAACTATAGGAAAGCATTTATTACCTTCATATTTCCATACGTGATTTTATAACTGATGTAATTTTGCCAC